CAGAAGAAGCTTTTTTTGAACCTTTATACAAAGTTTTCTTTATAAACATATTTCTTTTTAAATGAAGCATTTATAATTCACAATGAACACAATGTGCAAATGCAACAAACTTCTATAAATAGCTTGAAACGTCACCAGAACACAATCTTGGTATAAATCTCGTTAGATTACAATAGAGATCAAAAAAATTAATAATAACGAAGCGAAATTGTAATATAATTTAATTCAGAGAGGCTACAAACTGTCTATGCCAAACATACGCTTGTCCGAATACGATGTCTTTTATTTTTTCATCAGGGTGAAAATTCAAGTTTTTGATTCAAAATTATTTTTCCTAATTATATTTCAGTTTTTTAATTCAAAATTAAAAAAAATAAATGGCTATACGAACTACCGTACAAACATCCATTAACATGGCTAATATCGACCAATAGTCCTGTCCTGGACAATTTTGTATTGTGACTTTATTAAAGGGACAGGTGCACAATTTTTGGGAAGTTGATTTGTGTCTTGAATATATGTAGATAGTCTACAAAAGTTCTAGAAGAAATGTTCAAATTCACAAATTTCCTTCAAAAATACCTTAAACTAGAAATTACACTTTCTATTTCTATGTATGTCTTTTCTATATCAGTCTTAAGAAAATACGACTTGTCTTTTTAACATTCAAACACAGATTATTCTAGATACCCATTGATTTGAAGGCTCAAATTTCGAAGGTGAGCTGTGAAAACTATTACTGATTAGCTCAGGTAAAGAAATTCACGTTTCTGAGACTAGGGTATGATTGATGAGAGAAATGGTCAATCTGTCCCTTGTGATATTTGTAAAGATGGAAAGAGTCTATAAATATCTGAAAAATATAAGTAACAAATTTTGATTTGACTTTTTTATTCTTTTCAGATTATTTTCGTAAACGGTGTACAATTTGACCAATTTTTGACCAATCAGAATGGCCAGTTTAGAAGAACGTCGTGAAGCTCGCCGTAGACGACGCGCAGAACAAGATGACGGGTAAGTTCCATACCTTATATGGTCCTTGTTTGTTTGTTTGTTTTTGTTCTAAAATCACAATTTAGTATGTTGTCATGGTGATAAGTTTTGTTAATTTGTCAACAGTGACGTCACGTATAAGTATCTAGTCAAGATATAATTCAAAACAAAATCATGACAAGTCCACTTTATTTTAGGGTAGAAAAGATGGTAATTAAAACTATATAAGCCAATTGAATTGTGTTTATTACTAGTTAAACTACCTCAAAGTATAGTGGACTGGTCATGATTATGTTTTGAATTGTACTGGTATGTACAAATATATCAATTCGTTCTAAAAATACCCCAAAACAACCCCACCCACCTACCCTTATTGTAAGCCATGAAATGCCTAATTTTTTGCTCGGTGTGTGATTTCTGTTAGCTTTTCCACTCCATCACTAAGGCATTCATTCAATATTTCCCCTTTTTTCACACTAATAGAGGCTACAGTAGTCACTTTATAAGGTAAGTACTGCTACTGGTTATGCTACTATGCCATATATGATCAAAACATTGCATATTCTCATATAAGAAAAATATAAATCACACGAGAAAGGCAAACAGTAGGTAAAAATTAACTGTAATTGTATCAACTTATTACCTACTGTTTGAACGTTCTCGTGTGATTTATTTTTTCCCTTATTACAACTCAACATGTTTTAGTTTTTACATATTCTCATATGGAGCTTTCTTAGCATAGTTATAATAATTCCATCTTCATATTGTATGGTACTTTTCTTTACATACATACAGCCCCGTCATTAGGGTGAGGTCGGTAGGGGCTGAGCCCTAGCAAGTGAGAATTAGGCCTCAGCAAAACCTTCTTCAGTTCAGAAAAGATTGATTCATTTACAGTGTCTTTGTACAAAATCAAAAAGATACATGTATATATTTGATACGTTTTTGGCACCTCAAAATTGTCAGAAATGAGTTCTCTTGGCATTTAATACTTCAAATTTTCTGAGTACAAAATCTGAGCCCCAGTACCAATTCATTCCTGGGGACAGGGCTGATATTATTATACATAGTGCATGGGAATTGACTAAAATATGAGAAATTTAAGATAGAGACCCCCAATTGCATGAGAAGTATATTCCAGAACAGCATATTTTATCAAACACCAATTATTCTTATTAAAACTATTTTATCTTTATTGCATAAGAATTAGAAACTATAGTTCACAAAATACAGAAAAACACTTCATAAAAAAAAGCAAAACAAAACAAAACAAAAATTTTCTTTTTCCTATTTCATGACCTAGGCCAGTGCATTTTTGAGAATACTATTCTTATCTCAGTCTAACAATAAACAACCACATGGGATCTAGACACAAAATAGCTAACTTAATTGTTGAATAGCGTATTTATAAAAACAATATATTCCTAATTAAAACTATTTATAACTATATTGTATGAAAATTATATATTTTATATTATACAATAGTTCATAAAATACAGAAAATATTCACTGAAAAAAAGCAAAACAAAACAAAAAACAACTGAACCAGATGGGAACTAAATAAAATAGATAACTACAATAATATAAAAACAATATAGTCTGAATAAAAACTATTTAAACAAATATTATATCTGAATTATAATAATAATTGATAGCCCTGTTTACATTATAAAAATTATTCGTCCTCTGTATGTTCTGAGATAGAAACAGATAAACAATAACAGTGTAAACAGTTGAGCGTTCTGAGAACAGTTCTAATTCAAGACTATCAAAGCGAGGTTGTCTCGGATCAGTTTTCGAAAATTCGTTCTATGCTTTTTTTGCTGAAATTAATCAAAGCACACATTCAAATTTTTTTTATCACTTCCGGTTTCGATATTAGTACTTCCGGTGGAATTGAGTTATGTCCAAAATAACATATGCATTGTATTACCAGATTTAATACAAACTTATTTAACTAAAAAAATCGCACCAGAAGTAACATGTAGGCCGCCATTTTGGTTTGCCTCATTTTGCAGAAATTGCTATTCAGAGGCCATTTATCATCCGATTTCCTGATTTTTGTGTCATACGATATGTTTAATGTCTGTCTACAAAAAATGGGAAGCATAATTTTGATTTTCGGTTTTGCCTTTTTTTGTACGACCTGATGTTTTATTTCAAAGTTTGAAGGCTTATAACTCATGACTTTGACCTTTGATGATATTGACCATAGTGATAAAGGTCTAAATATGGTCAATTTGGCATATTGTCAGTGCTGTATCTCAAACCCTAATTGATTCAGCACCCTCCTACCTTCAGATTATTAATGCACTTTATAAATGGTTTCAATTTATATGGCATTTGATGATGTCAAAGTCACATCAAAGACAAAAAAATGTTGCAATTTCCTTAAATCTTTAAATGGGTCTATCAAAGGAACTTGGCCTCGGATGACGTTGATATTTACATTAATGTTTACTATTGACTTCAGCTTTTACATGATGTTAATATTTTTTGTGTCCGACACGTGGTTTCGGTTTTATGGGTGTCACTGAAAATTGAGTCTGCATCTTTAAAGTGTCCTAACATGTGCCCTATTAGAGATAGAGAAATAATTCTGTCGGATTCAAAATGCTGAGATCCTCAGCTTTCTAATGATATATAACATGCATGCCTTACATGCAAATTCAAAACTCCATTCACTTAACATGGGGTTATTATTAGATAAATCGGCTAATTAGATTAACCCGGCTGTCAACCCCAATATAAATAAAAGTTTAAGTAGTTTTAAAGATACCCTCCCTTTTATATTTCTTTAAAATGTTCTATGTCCAGTTATTGTATATAATTAAGCTCTCGGGTGAATTGAATCATGTTATACTGTAGTTTAAGCTCACGGCAGCATATTGAAGGTATACCCCCACTTAATTTCCCAACTTTGTTGTGCGCATGCGCATCACCAACTTTCTTTTTTCTTATCTGAATTTCACCAAACTTGGTCCTTATTAATTGACAAACATTCTTTTATTCCTAGTCAATATACTTTAAACTCTAGGCACTTTTGTATATTTTCATTTAGAGATGCAGAAAAATATTAACATCAATGTAATTGAAATAGACCATCTTCGTATGTACCTGAATGTCGTAACACGCCCTGTATTAGTACTGTTATTAGAATAGTTCTAGTTTAAAATGTTCTTATATTTGATTTCTTTGATATCAAACAAAATTTGCAGTTTTTTAAAATGATCACTATATATGGGGTTGGAATATATCGTTAACAATCTACATGTAAGGCTATCATCATTAGAGCCATAAACATAACCTGGATAATTAGAAGGTGAAAATGTCTTAGACTGTTTCTTGACCACAGAATCATTATCTATTGAAAGTGTAAAAATCAGGTCAGCAGTGACAGATTCTACTAATTGTTTGACTTCTTCTTTCATAAAAGATTTAAGGGTAATGTTGGTGACCAGCTTGTTAGTAGAATAATGGGCCTCGGCTTGAATTGTCCAGTGGATTCCACCAACATAGAAAACTTCACTTTTAAATGAATCGTCTTTAAAATTAAATGAAAATAGTCGGCCAATGGTAACATCTAGAGTTCCCATATCATCATCAATTTTATCAATATCAGTATGTAAAACATACAATTGATGGTTCTGAATTTTAGACTCCAGATTCAGAGTGAAATCAAGTAATTCTTGAATGTTTTTTGATTTATTCAAGGGTTTGTCAAGATGTTTTATAGCAGATGTTAGTCTCTTTGAAAAGATTTCGTCTTCATCAGAATTTATTTTTTTTCTATGGCAGGCTATTTCTTTATAATCTTTCAAATCAGATTCTAATTTAGATATGCGCTTCATGACTTCATCACAACTCTTAGTTTCTTTAGAAATAAAACTATCAGTTACGTTTGAAATTTTTTGCAATTTTCTATCAATTTTGTTTTGATAATCTTTAAATCGTTTCTTCATCTCGTTAAGGTAATCTTCAATTTTAAAAACTAAATGTTTAGAATCATGGTCATCATCTAAACATTGTTGACAAATCAAACATTTACAAGTTTTACAGTAGAATTCAAGTACAGAATCCGGGTGATTTTCACAGAACGACTTTGAGTCTGAAGTTTTGAGTTTATGAACTTGATGTTGTGATGAAAACACATCATGACATTTCTTGCAAACATCACACATGTATTTATCACACTCAAAGCATTGAAAAACAGCTTGATTGCCCTTGTCACATACATTACAAACTTCTGGTTCTGTTAATTCTTGGAGAGGTTCTTCATCTTCCTTCGTCGGCAGATCTGCTACTCCCCCTGGTGGAATTTCTACTTCAGTCATACAGTTGGGACAGTTGATTTTCTGTTTCTCTGCCACGTAATCACTTAAACACTGACGACAAAAAACATGCTGACATGGTAGAATTCTGGAATCTTTATACTCCCCCAAACAAATACTACAACAATCACCTTCTGATTTAGCAGCCATCTTGTATAATCATGTCCTACAAGAAAGTGAAATTATGCAAATATATAAATCAAATAGAAGCTATAAGTATTCCTGATACACATGCAAAGACTAGAAAATCAGAATGGTGTAAAAAGAAGCTATAAGTGTCACTGATACACATACAAAGACTAGAAAATCAGAATGGTGTAAAAAGAAGCTATAAGTGTCACTGATACACATACAAAGACTAGAAAATCAGAATGGTGTAAAAAGATGATATAAGTATATCTGATATACATACAAAGACTAGAAAATCAGAATGATGTAAATAGAAGCTATAAGTGTCACTGATACACATACAAAGACTAGAAAATCAGAATGGTGTAAAAAGAAGCTATAAGTGTCACTGATACACATACAAAGACTAGAAGATCAGAATGGTGTAAATAGAAGCTATAAGTGTGTCTGATACACATACAAAGACTAGAAAATCAGAATGGTGTAAATAGAAGCTATAAGTGTCTCTGATACACATACAAAGACTAGAAAATCAGAATGGTGTAAATAGAAGCTATAAGTATCCCTGATACACAAACAAAGACTAGAAAATCAGAATGGTGTAAAAAGAAGCTATAAGTGTCACTGATACACATACAAAGACTAGAAAATCAGAATGGTGTAAAAAGAAGCTATAAGTATCTCTGATACACATAAAAAGACTAGAAAATCAGAATGGTGTAAATAGAAGCTATAAGTTTCCCTGATACACCAACAAAGACTAGAAAAACAGAATGGTGTAAATAGAAGCTATAAGTGTCTCTGATACACATACAAAGACTAGAAAATCAGAATGGTGTAAATAGAAGCTATAAGTGTCCCTGATACACATACAAAGACTAGAAAATCAGAATGGTGTAAATAGAAGCTATAAGTGTCTCTGATACACATACAAAGACTAGAAAATCAGAATGGTGTAAATAGAAGCTATAAGTGTCCATGATACACATACAAAGACTAGAAAATCAGAATGGTGTAAATAGAAGCTATAAGTGTCTATGATATGTATATAAGGACTAATATATTACCAAAGATTATAGTATGGTTTAGTATGTGTTATTTATTCATTCAACCTCTGAATTTAAGATATAACGGACTGGTTAAATATTATAAATCTATTGTAATCCTATTCGTATATTTTCTACCTCTAAATTCAACTTAACACTAGAGCCACTCATGGCACAGAGTGGGACTTTGCAAAAGTAGCAAATTGCGAGAGACCCCGAAAAAATCATCCTTCCACGATAATTAGATCAAGCGCAAGAACAAGTCTAAAGTTGAGAAATTTTCATTTTTTAGAAGATTCTAATACCGGAAGTAGACGTCAGACCTCACAAATGAAAGTATCAGCAGATAGCCAAGGTCAATGACCTTTGATCTTGTAAAAGAGAAGGTCTAAAAAGATCAAGATCAAGAGATATACGTCATCAAAATTTCTAATTGCACACGACTATAAAACCGGAAGTTGACATAGGACAGCAAATATGAAAGTACAAATAGATAGCCAATGCCAATGACGTTTGATCCTACAAAGGTCAAGGTCAACAAAGGTCAAGGTCAAAAATTGAAAATTTTGAATTTCCAAAACCTGTTCCTTTTTTTGAACTAACAAGCGGAAACAACCGAAATTCTAAGACAAAGTGGCCCAATATATGAGGTAATTGTATGCAAAGTTCCATTTTGAACAAACGTATACTTTGCGAGTTATGCTCCTGGCCAAAAATATCAATAATGAGTAATATCATCCAGATGTGCCACGCCCACCTTAATTTTTTTGCATAGGGTAATTGATATTCCAAATGTTATGTTGTGTTTTAAATTTCAAGCTTCTCCATTATTCAGGTCAAAAGATATAGGTCAACAAAAGTCAAAAAAGGTCAAAATCGAAAAATGAAAATATCCAAATGTTAAAACCCGTTCCTTTTTTGAAACTATAAAGCTGAAACAACTGAGCTGTTAACACAAACTGGCCAAAAGGATGAGGTAATTGTGTGCAAAGTCTCTTTTTGAACAAACGCATCCTATGCGAGTTATGCCCCAGCCGCAAAATGTAAACAATTAGTAATTTAACCCGGATGTGCCACGCCCACATAAGTTTTTTTGTCATAGGTGAATTCATATTCAAAGTGTCTAGTTACATTCCAAATATCAAGGTTCTACATAGAATAGGTCATAAGATATACATACACGAAGATCAAAATGACACAAATATGGTAAAACAAAACTCAAATTTGAAAAAATCACGAATTTCAATTTTGCTTTAAAATAACGATTGTTATATATCTATTTAAAGTACACGAGAAGCACATTAGGAAACCGAAAAAATTTACTCTCTAGGTTAATTAGGTCACGTGCTAGAGCAGTCCAAAGTTGCGAATTTGGATGTTTTTGGACAGCTATAAAAGCGAAAGTTGACGTCAGAGGTCAAATATGAAAGCATAAACAGGGAAATCAAAATGGCGGCCAAAGTTTCACGTCTGTTCCGGATTTTTTTTTCTTCGTTTTTTTGTCATAACTTTGTCTATCTATCAGCATAAATTTTTTTGTCCTATACAAATTACACCGGAAGATATTCAACCGGAAGTGAACATCGATTTCCTGTTTAAACCGGAAGTGAAATTGAAAATTTGACTGTACCATTTTGTTTACTTTCTTAAACTGTCTTTGCTCAATTTTTTTCAGATTAATCAGACAAAAAGCAAAAAATGCAAAATTTGGCAAAAAGAATGTCTGCGACAAATTTTCGAATTTTGAAAATTTGAAACTGCTATTCTTTCAGATTTTGCCAGTAGATTCCAAAAATGCAAACCCAAAGAAAATCGACCGAAAAATACGACTTCTAGAGCCGATTATCTATTCTTGCATATATTGAACTGTGGCACTTCCGGTTTTGCAAAAAAGATCCAAAATATATTTATGCACATCGTCGCCTATATCTAAGGTTCGTGAATGTTGAATGGTTGCTGCAACTATTGTAGTCTAAGCTCAGGAAGGTGTGTAAAAATCGAAAAAAAAAAAAAAAAAAAAGAATTGACATTTCGATAACAAACTGGGACTATAATAATATTGTATGAAGTAATAGATTCTTACCTACGTGGCCTTTTTCAACATCAAAAAAATAGTGTTTTTACTTCCTCAGACTTAACTTTAATACGGTTTCATATTTACTTTCACTTTTCAAATATAGACAGAATTTTCCAGGAAATATTTTAGACTTGTTGAAACAGCACAGCAGCTTTACAAATTCTACTTTTATTTTTATTTTGCAATGATGGATAGTGGAATTATCTAGGAAATATTAACAACCTCTTCTTTCACTTTCCAAAACTTGAAAATGGGGAGGGTGGGGCGGTTGTAGGAGCCACAGAGTTGAAGTTTGAAAGTAGGGTGGCAAAGCTGGGACAGTCTCTATTCTTGGGCTGAGGGGGACATAGACAAAACAAATTTCCTTATGATCAGAGGTTCACTTTTTGAAAGTGTTTTTGACAATTAAAACTCCATTTCTATTAATATTTTTAAGTTTTTAATTCAAAAACAGACATCCAAGGAATAAAACAGATTTTTTGGGGGATGTTTTAAACTTCTCATTAGACATGTCTGGCAAAAAAGATGTCAATTACAAACAAATCAGCTGGAGAAAAAATGAAAGAAATGCGTAGACCAAAGAAAGGTCTGACTTTTTAAAATCCTTATCAGACAGTACTGGCAAATACAGTCAAATCAGCATCCCTTCTAGAGAGTAATTTGTAAGTAGGTCTAATCATTACAGGAATTTTCTCTCTGAAGGAATTTTGACCACTTAAATCTTACACCACCATCTGGTTTCTGCCTTTCATGTTGTTTACTATAACAACAGTTACCATGGAAACATTATTACAGTATTGAAATAAATAGGTTATAACTATAGCGATTATAGAATCAGATGGTTATTGGAGGTGTTGAAATGAAATCCAGTAGATTCAGGTGTTTTCTAATTAAGGGTCAAAGGTCAAGCTTACAATTCTTAAATTTCTTCTCAAAAACTGAAAGTTCAGATCTGGGGCCTTATTCTTAATTTAACTTACTGATAAATACTGTAATCTGATTGGATAATAATAACTAAATTTAAAATTGACTTTAGAGATTGACCAATCAGTCGATTGGAACACTAAAATCATTTTAAAGGGACAGTTTTGGGGGCATGATTTGAGTGTTGAATATTTATAATTAGTGTTCAGAAGTACTAGAAATAATACTTGCATAATTCCTTTATAACTATCTCAAACTAGGAATTTTACTCACTATTTCTATATATATCTTTTCTACATATCTTAAAATAACGACTGGAACGCTGATAATTCTGGACACATAAACTTATATTGTGTTGATTATAACTTAAACTACATAAAGATAAAATAAACTGATCATGTTTATGATTTAATGGACCTGGATGAGAAGAAATATCTATACTGAACTATACTATACAATGTTATTATTAATTGTTATAAAAGAAAGAAATTTTCAAGTCGTTACAATTTGACAGACAGGGACTTCGTGTAATGTATAAAAATAAAGTTTTCACCATGAAAATCAAGTCTATATGAACAGAATATTGATAAGAGCAGACAATCCATGCCTCTGTTAATGCTTTTGTGAGATGTAGGCTTGTAAGGTTGGAAATTTGCTAGTATATTGACAATAGATTTGCAGATTAGGTCAGTACCAAGTCTATAAAGTATATGAGTTATTGTATAAGTATTATTAGCTAATATTATTGTATTTTTATATTCAACTAGATTGTTAACAATTATAATTATAAAGTGTTTGAAAAGAGTAGGCAATCTCTAGCTCAAAACATATTCTAAGTTTTAAGTATATTGACAATAGATCTGCAGGTTTAGTTGATGCCAAGTCTATCAGTGGCCAAGTCTTTCATGTATTGTCATTATCAACTAGATTGTTATCAGTACATATTTACAACATACACCATAATTTATCTGGCGTTCAATCATAACAAACATAAACAAACAGTTATATTCCTAGACACTTTAGTAACGTGATAGGATTAGTATTAACCAATCAACAACCTTGATACAAATCATACAACCAATCAAAACCCTCGATACTGCAAATCTTAGTGCACTTCTCAATATGGGTGTAAGTCAGTTGACAGTGGATTATCTGCCCATGGTTCTATCAAGTACTAAGTATTATTTAGTTTGAAGTTGTTAAGAGAACATCTTACTCTCATCTCTTCTTTCTCTCGTTTCGTTGGAGCGAAGGTAACCTTGGATTAATTCATTATTCGTAATCTCATTAGTATTCGAGGATTTATAACGTTTTTGCGCAACATTGCATATCATCTTGTGATTTTTTTTTATAATTTTGGGATTATAAACATTGGTTGGATTAACTAGTGCTCAACTTTAGGATTATCTATAATCCAGATAAGTAGCTTTGTAATTCATTGTAATACATTTTTTGTAATTTGTGTAATTTCATTTATAATATTTCTAACATTTCTAGATAAGTGGCTTTGTAATACATTGTAATATATTGTAATATTAAACCACAAACAGAAAACCAACATTTTTTGTCATTTGTGTTAAAACCATTTGATCATCTCAGTAAATATTTGGAAATGGTACAGGAAATTTCAGTTTTTGGTGCATGAAATATTGTTAAAGTGATTATCAGACTTATTTTTGTAACGGTGCCAAATTGTAAGGAATATTATTCTGTCAATAATAATTACAGTGTAAATCAGGGCATTTTATTATTTGGTATGTCAAGGATATTAAAGAGAAGTTTATTTTCTTTGTGATTTCAAGAGAAATAAGGAAGTAAGGAAGTAAGGAAGGTTTGAGATGATTAGAAATAGTTAAAATAAGATCTTGCTTTTTCTTGGCTTGGATTTTGAGACTCTAATCATTAAAACGCTACTGTCTTGATAAAAATTTAAAAATCTGTACAAGCAAGACAATTTTATTTATCAACATCTGGTTAAAATCAAGAGTAATAGTTGTATAGTAGTGAACTGCTACAAAGAGAAGCACCAGTGTTTATTGATGTTTGTTTGCCTTTAGTTTGTTAAGAATTTTTGTCAGGCTTTGTATTGTTAAATAATACCGGTACCTGGAAAGTCGAAGTATTCTATGTTTAGGATACGAAGAAGTTCAGTGATGTAGGCTTCCCCTGGTCCCCCAGAAATGATGCTGGCCCTCCTCCTCTGTCAAATTTCTATTCATTGAGTTATGCCTGGTGCTATTTGCCCCTCCCTTGACAATTCTGAACCCCCCTTCCATCACAATGATTCATAGGTCCACTGAATCATTATAAGTTTTTGTCCCAAAATATGTGTCAGAATGCACCTTATCAATCCTTTATTTCAAAAACTTTCATGGTTGAAAACCTTCTTAGACACTCCCTAGGAGGTTTGCGCCAAAACACTTGCACGGAGCTGCTGCATGTTTCAACCTAGACAGTCCTTTCATTATGTCAGTCTGCCCCCTATTTGTACCCCCAGTCTAGGGAGGCTGGCACCCCAACTAGATTTTTTGTAGTTTCGGAGAAGTTGGTCTTTGATTACATCATCACATCTTTATCAAATCATTACTGCTTAACAACGACCTTCACCTTTCACTCTTTAATTCTAGTCTACATCCTTCACAATAGAGGACAAATACACTACCCTCTAAACCAAAATGTCAGGTGTATTCTCTAGCAGAAATGTCAGAGGTAATGATACCTTTGCAGATAAACATTTTACAGATACTTAGAAACTCAATACACATAACGAATTACATCAAATCTAATATTCACAGGGATTCCATTCTTATTCAATCTGGCAAAACAGTCTAGTATAACAGTCTTGCCAGAATTTTAGTGAAATTGTGCCAGAAATCGTCTCTTACTTTCTGGTAACTTATTCTAGAATTCTGAATTTAATGTTCCAGTCATCTGATTGGTTAATTACTAATATTGATATTAATTTGGCTTTATCATCCAATCAGATCACTGTATTTCTAAAAATCGGGACTGTAGATTTTGGAATTTACCAGCTGGACATTTTAAAACATAAATTAAGATTTTGAACCAATTTGAGAGCGAATGAAAACTGCATAAATTGTAAAGAAAATGTCCTAAAGATGGAAAGCACAGACAGTCATTTTTTTAGTTCCCAATCAGACTTGACTGACAAATACAGATAAATCAACAGCCCTGGAGTCTTATTCTTGAAAACTTAACTTAAGGTTATTTAAGTGTTCCAGTCATCTGATTGGTCAATCACTTAATTCAAACTTTTATTATCCAATTAGATTACTGTATTTCCTAAAATCTGGATTTTATCGTAGTTTTCGAGGAGAAGGCTCTAGGTCTCTGCCTGTCTTTAGCCTACTGCATGTTACTAATCCTTTCCTTTTTTTCATTATTTTTTTTTTGCATGTTGTGCATGTGCATGTAGAATATCAGAAGGAAGCGAAGCCAATCGTGATGTAATTGATAGAGTAAATGAACGTTTAGCCAGACGCAGAAAGGAGCGTGAAGAAAAACGCATGCTAGAAACGTAAGTGCATGTGCTATTTTGTAAGAATCAAAGATCAAGGTGACTGTTGTTGAGTCATCTTCACAATGTCAAGTTATCACAGACTCTGTCTAATACCTTGACTGTAATAACCACCTTTTTGTATCACGGAAGTTAGTAAATGCAGAAATTTGGTTGGATTGCACGGTAGGGAACACAGCCAATCAGAGGCCTTGGCAGAAATACTGTAAACAATTTGACTGACCTGTAATTGGTGTACAAAACAATAAAATCGCTGCATTTACCAGCTTCCATGATACAAGAAAGGTGGCCGTTGCTGTCAAGGTATTAGACACAGTTCGTGATAGCTTGACATTGTGAGAATGCTGTTGAGTCAGAAATGTCTGTAGCCTAATGGTTGAATTATCAGCTGTCTCTTTAAATGTCTTGAAAATGGGAAAATTTTCAAATTAGAAAATTCGAAAATTAATTGGCTAAAAAGAAAGGCCCTAAATATAACATCAAAACTGACCTTTTTGGCACATCATTCAGACATGACTGGCAAAAACAGGTAAATCAATATCCCTGATGAGAATCTCTGGAATGGTGCCAGCACTAAATAATTCTACAGGTATATAAACTGCATGTTGAAAATACAGATAAAGCATGTTATTATTGTATTACTATATAAATATATATATATACAAGGGCACCTGCCAATAATTATAATAACTTATAGTACAGTATTCACTCTTCAGACAGTAAAATAATTATACCAACTGAACATTATTAGCTATGTGGACTCTCTGAAATGGATGGCTAGTTGAAAAACCTAGCTTACAAATAAACACTATTAGACTCTGAAAATGGTGGCGTGGGTCATAAACACTTGCTACAAAATAACACTATTAGCAATGTGGACTGTCTGAAAGGGATGCTGCTTTGACGAATCTAGATATTGGCTATATTGACTCTCTGAAGGGAATGGCATGTTGATAAACTCAGTCACAAAGTTACAGCAGGTTCTTAAGGAGTCAGCATGCCCTGTGTCTTTAATCATTATCTTATAAACAGAGAAGTATGAAAAAAACCTCCTTTTTCACATGTTTCATTTACATTTCTTGAAAATTGTCAAAACTATTTTTCTACATAACTTTAAGTCTTGCAAATAGGGATTTTGTGAAGCAGGTAAGGGAAATGACATTCGTAGAATTATCATTCAATAGTTTTTACATCTTGGGCTGGAACCAGTGACTATTCTGGCCAGGTATTCTTGACTGCAATGGTCACCTTTCTTGTATCTCGAACTTCATCTTCACAATGTCAAGTCATTACGAACTTTGTCTTATACTTTGACTGCAATGGTCACCTTCATGGGGCTGAAGAAGAAGACATGGGGCTGTAAAGATACTAAAAAGATGATTATTGCTGTCAAGGTATAAGATGAAGTTTGTAATATCTTGACATGACAAAGATGGGACATGATATGTTTCTCAATTTTAAAATTTTTTCAATAAACCCACACCCTATACTTTCCTAGACAACTTTCAACTTTAGTTATACAGAAGGAAGAAAATTGGCTCATTCTGATCTAAAATTAAAAACAAAATATTTATTCATCAGAATTTTGATTGTATGATTTAGATTCATATCATTTCATTTGGTAACGTAACCCAAGAGAACAATTTTTTTTGATTTTTTGATTTTTGGATTTTGAACCTTTTTGTGACTTCCTGATTTGCAATCATGTGTGAGTTTTTTCCTTTTGAATTAATTTGTGATTTTTTCCTCTTAAAGAGATTGTAAAGAAAATCTTTCATGTGTATCAGAGACACTGATATCATCAATTTACACCATTCTAATTTTCAATCAGATGTCTGTGGTTCCTGCAATTCAACTAAAACTAAATGTTGAGGACATCACTAATCGTGAATAGTCTGTTATATTAGTGATGTCCTCAACACTTAGTTTTAGTGGATTTGCAGGAACCACAGACGTCTGTTTGAAAATTAGAATGATGTAAATTGATGATATCAGTGTCCCCGATACACATACAAATTTGAGAAAACATCTTTACAATATCTTTGGAATTAATTTGTGATTTTACCTGCTTGGTTTTACCTTCATCCTTGTTTGTTTTTGTTTTCCCCTAATTTAGAACGACAGAAAACGGCCCCGAGGAAGGTGAAAGTGACATAGAGAGGAGGAGACGAGAGCGAAGAGAGGCCAGATTGAGGCAAGACTTGATGTTGTCAATATATATTCTTATAAATTTTTATATTTAAATTTCGTTCAACAGTTGATTTATTCAGCACTATTTATATATATTGTTAGAGAATCAAATCAACACCTGATACATGTTGTTACTAAGAGTTTCTTGAGACATCTTAAACAGACCCTGAAACATATTGTTACTCAGAGTTTCTTCAGACAACCAAAACAGACCCTGAAACATGTTATTACTGACAGTTTCACGCTAAGCGATCTTCAGACAACGAAAACAGACCCTGAAACATATTATTACTGACAGTTTCACGCTAAGCGATCTTCAGACAACGAAAACAGACCCTGAAACATGTTATTACTGACAGTTTCACGCTAAGCGATCTTCATTCTTGTAATTAAAATTTGACAAGGCTTACAACTTTACTGACTCAGGGAAACACTTGTGTACACAATATTCCAAGATTTGCAGCTTTGACATTCGAACTCTGAAAATTTGTGTTCAAAAAAGAATTTTGTAAGTAATATAGATGTTTGCTTCTGCTTTCTAATTTCTAGATCAGTACTAATTTATTTTAAATTTTGGCAATAACAATCATGGTGGTCATCTTGTAAGAAAACAAATCATTCCATATATCATAGAAATCAAAAGTCACTGTCTAATGTTAAAACTACAGAAAGTCATAGCTATTTAATATTTATATATAGTGTGAAGTTTATTATGTTTCAATGTTACACCAATACCCCAATATGTTAAATTAAAATATAATCACAGTGTAACGTTAGTACCCAATGTTTGTATTTTGTAAGGAATCCATTCATTGTGTTTCACCTAACCTGACATGACATTCAAATTTATTGATTCAGTTTTACATGTTCATCAACATTTTTTAATAAAATTCATCATTTAACGGAGGTGGAAATTGAAAATCTTAAATACACGTACAGTGACTAGAAAATCTCTATGAATCCCATCAATTCGATCTGTTTTTAAATTTAGAATTTCTCTCATTACAGAGAATCAGACGCTCCGGCAGAAGAAGAAACTTCGAGTCGTAGAAGTCGCAGACGACAATCCGAGGACGAAAAGCCAGCAGAGGTACGGAGAGTTTCTATAAATAGATGTGGGATCTGTGTTGTTTTAAATCGTCCCATTTCATTGGTCAATAGAAATGTTTGATAAGTGCCAATCCCTTGCTCCACAAAATATCTAACAATGGTGAAGATTGCAATTTGTTTAATAAGTGCTAGGTAGTGCCTTATGACTCGTAAGGGTAGAATTTTACATGGAGAAATATCATACTGAAGACAAAATTGATTGTAAATTTTTTCTGAAAAATAACTAAGACTTTTTTTTTTCATGTTAAAAATTGATTAGGAAAAGTGATTTACTTGGCTACTTCCTAAATTACCTCTATTAGGTCAGCTATATAATATAACATTTTGTGTTTTGACCAAACTTGTTATTTATGAATACATGCACAGTTGGCAGTTGGAATAACCATAGTCAGTATACAAATATAAAGCAACATGGGTCTTTAAGCGGTTCCAGAGAAACAAAAACAACTTCAACACAAGGCACTGGCAGTTATAACACTTCTATCCCAATGAGATGATGACCTTTCTGTTTTCAGCAATTCTCCAATTAGCACATTCCACGCTTTTTGCTGTTATTTCGTTCAAAAGTAAAACACAAGAGTTAACCCTTACATTCTTTAGTTTCAATTTGACTCTTTATTTTTTTTTTGTATTTCCATGACAACCTGAATAAATTCAATTCCTACCCATACTGAAGATTTTTTTGGAAATACGTGTAAATGATATGCAATGCAGACCAGACGTATTCTGGAAATGATCTTAATGCTAGGATGTCCTAGAATCAATGTTAGAAGATAAGAACCTGGGATGTCCTAGAATCAATGTTAGAAGATAAGAACCTAGGACATCCTAGCGTAAGATCGTTTCCAGAATATGTGGCCATGCTTACTCTTTTGGAAAAGCCTGATGGTACTTCTGTTTAGAGAATTCCACTACTAGATAACTTTTACTCTCAATTTTACTGTTCTATGGACGAGATTTTTGAGTAACAGAATTGTAATATGGGTGATAACATACGTGTAGGTGGAATCAGAATTTTTAGAACACAATGCTATCAATGATAGAAATAATTAGAGAAAGATTTTGTCAGGTTGTCAGGAAAGTTTGATTTTGTGTTTTTATTATGTTACTGCACTGTGTTATATATACAGATCAAGTTCTAGATTTTATAAAATAATAGAAAAACAACCTTTAAGAGACAAATTCCCCATTATTTCAACTTTCCTTTATCTCAAAAATGGCAATTTTTTTGTGAGCCAATCAGTAATAGTGTTAATGGCTTACTGTCGAAATTTGAGCCTTCAATTCTGTTGGCTTTTGGGGTCTCCTCCTCATACATTTAAGTTAAATACATTACCAAAATGCATTTTTATCTAGATATACCCCTGTAAGACTCACATCGTTTCTACAATTTACACTTGTGTACAAGGTGAAATTCTCATGATGATAATGTAAACTGTAGAAACATTGTATGTAATAAAACCATAAAATATTTTCTGTCATTGTAATTTTGAATGAAGTCAGAACTTGATCTTTGAATGTTATATTTTTCCACTGTGTTGTTCCATGTTTTATTTTGGTGCCATCATTTACAGGAATCAGCTCGCTCACGACGCCGTAGACAACAAGAAGAGGTAAAATAGTGTAGTTGTCATAGTAACATGTAGATATAGCTTATATTATATAAATAATAATATGAATATTCATAAGCTATTTATTATGCGTATTAAATTATATATAGTAATAATTATAGTAACTTTGTTCAAGCTAACTGAAAAGGATTGTTAAGTGGTTGTTTAAATTTTGTATGTTTATCGGGAACTCTGATATCATCAATTTACATCATTACAATATTTAATCAGACATCTGTGGTTCCTGCAATTCTAAACATTTGATGATGTCACTAATTGCGAATTAAGGCTTTATGTGATAAAACATATTTTGCAATTAGTGACATCATGTCATCCAACACTTAGTTTTAGTGGAACTGCAGGAACCACAGACGTCTCATTGAAAATTGGAATAGTGTAAATTGATGTTATCAGTATCCCCGATATATATAAAAAATTCAGAAAACCTTTTTACAATCTCTTTACGTCAAATTTAGATAGTTGATATATTTTCTTAATTATTTGCTCTTTGTTCTTCATATATTTAATTGTCTAATCCTCATATTTAGTAACTGAAGCAAAAAGTTTTTTTCATTTTTTCATATTTAGCTACAATTGACCAGTCTTTTATATATATACTTTGAAAGTTAGTAGTTATAGATCTGATCTTCTTAGAACCATCAGGTGAAACTGGACAAGAAAGGTCCACAGGAGGGTCAAGGGAGCGGGTCTAATAGGCAAACCAATGATATAAAATTTTGAAGTTGGGGGGCAAGTCTTTTAATGTTATTTTTTTGGGGAGGAGGGGGGATTTTATGGATGGATACTATTAGAATATTAAATATTACTTTTAATTCAGTCACCAGGAATATAAAGACTATAATTTTATCTCATATAGGCTAATACTTATTTTATGCTACTCATGAAGCTATGCGACACCCTAATGCTATGCATTTCTCTATGCCAATCATATATTACTTAGCCTCTAACAGATGTAATGCTTACTATGTATTTTAACCCTTTGAACCCTGAGTGTAAATGAAATATAATGTCATATACCCTGAACTCTGAAGTAATAAAAGTGTATGATGTTAACGTTGTATGACATCACTTAGTAACGGCTAGTATACTGGCTGCTAGGGTTGAAAGGGTTAAAATGCATAGATATAATATTGCCTGTTTAAGCTCATTAAATGCTAAAAATGATTATAAAGAGGTTTTCTAAACAAATCATGCGTAAAGGGACCATTATGTGTATCATTCCAAGTTTCCGTCAGATGTCTGTGGTTCCTGTAATTATAGAAAAGCTGTATAAGACATCATTATCGCAAAAGCTGCTACAATTTTACTATTAGGTGAACTGTAAAACCTGAAAAGGTCTGATTGACTGTTGGAATGGTGTAAACCGATGCAATCAGTGTCCCTGATATACTTACAATTTTTTTTTAAAGTTTAGAAAAACTCTTTACAATCTCTTTAAACATCTAAATATGCTTTCATTGTTCTCTTATCATATCTTGCTTCTTACTAATATTTAACATTTTTTACTCTAACCAGGAAGCCCCCGCTGCAGAAGAGGAAGCTCCCGCAGAAGCAGAAGAGGTTTGTTAAAGTTGTCTCCCTTGAATAGGATAGAAAAGAGAGTTATTTCCCTTATAGACTAGAATATTCAGCTTGATTTCCCTTTTCCAATATTTAGTTATTCCTAGCCTATTGGATTTTAAACAGCTCTCCCACTAGTAAGACAGGAAAGAGTTATTTCCCTCAATAGATTAGAACAGTTAGCTTGATTTCAACAATATTTAGTTACAGTCTACAGTCTACAATAGTCTACTATAGTCTACAGTCTACAATAGTCTAGCTGATTGTTAACAGATATGAAAATACAGATAGAAGTTGTCTCCCTTGAGTAGGATAGAAAGTAGAGTTATTTCCCTCCCTTAATCTATGCAGATTAAACTATATAGATAGATTTTCACTATCCGATATTTAGCTATACTCTACATATTGGACAAATTTCTACCGTCCAATAATTAGTTATAGGTGTACTATAGTATTAGAGTTACCTCCCTCAGTATATTAGAATCTTAAGACCTCTTTCAATGTATGGGTGATTGATCTAATCTAACAACTTCCATCATATTCTACTTGTAACAAAGAGAATGTTATAGCTAACTTCTTGCATGGTAAATGGTACATCATTTTCACAATGTCAAACTATTACACACAGTCTTATACCTTGACTGCAATGACCACCTTTCTTGATCTTCACAATGTCAAGGTATTACAAACTTTGTCTTATACCTTGACTGCAATGGCCACCTTTCTTGTATCATGGAATTTTGTAAATGCCGTGATTTGATTGGATCACACTTATAATCAGAGCTGTTGTATGAGTGCTCTGATTGGCTGCATTTTGTGATACGAGGTGGCTATTGTAGTCAAGGCATAAGAAGAAGGCTTGACATAGTGAATATGATGGAACATTTGAGCAGGGATATTTACTCACAGTGGGATGATTAAAAAAAAAGCATAAAAAATCCATTTTTTTTTTCAAGGTAGAATATATAGTAATTGAAACTATTGGCCAGAGTTATTTTGTGTTCATTATTACCTGAAAAAACTTGTTTGTTATAAACCTGTTTTAATATCAACTTACACAAAAACCCTGGAAAACATTGAGCATGAAGACTACTTCATTAACTTAACAAAACTGAAGTTCAGATAAAGAAGAAACCTATGAAAAAATTTACTCAGCAGGATTTGTGCCCTTTGAACTCTTGACCCCTTCTTATGACCTTCAATGATCTTTGTGATACTATATTTCAGGACGATTCCGGCGCTCGTGAAGCCGAGGAGAGACGAAGACAACAGGACGAAGAGGAAGAAGAAGAGCGTCGTCAAGCAGCTGAAGAGCGTCGTCGTCAAGAGGACGAACGCAGACGTCAAAAAGAAGAAGAAGAACGTGAAGCAGAGGAAGAAAGACGCAGACAAGTTAGTAGCTCCCTCTTTTTTAAACAAATATTTGAAAAAAAAAATAATTTGCATGATTGTATGACTGATTGAAATAGCACTTATGTTATAACTTTTTCTTTTTTTTAAAAAAAAATCAAAAATTTATTTTGCATGGTTCATTGGCCACCTACATTATTTGCTGCAGGATCAAGAGCTGAAAAATAGGATGTAAAACTCCATTTTAATTGCATGATTGATTGAAGTTTCAGTGAAGTTAGGTATAGGTGTAGTCTTGTTCATTGAGTTCCTCAATAAAGGCAAGGAAAATATTATTGCTGTTGTTGGTTTTTCAGCTAAAGTTGTTTCCCCTTCTCTGTGAATTTTTACTCATTGCATGTTTCTTACAATAAGCTTGTTTTGTAGCATTTTCCCTTGTATTTTCATGTTCCCTTTTAAACTACATGTTTGCTTTACAGCTTGTTCCCTTATAATATACATGTGCATTTTCATAAGCATGTTTCCTTTTAAATATGCATGTGCATGTTTGATGTATTTCAGGAAGAATGTGCATTTTTTGACCTAATTTATGGTTGTGATGAGACTGAGAGCGCACCTAAAAACCAACTAGATTCTGAGATTATAGAGAAATATGAAACGTTAGACAAGACGATTGCTAAACGTCGTAACACGCTGGTTCAGGAAGGAAGTATAGAGATATCATCTGATAATAGTTTTAGCTATCAGGCTGATACGGAGGGACATTGCATGGACACGGACACTGCCGATCTGACAGAAAATGAAGCATTTGAATATCCACGTGCGAAGGTTTCGCGAATTTTAACCAACGTGCGTAAAATTCCACAGTCTGTTTGTACATCAGATACAGAAAGTTACGATTTAGATAAACACGAAAAAAGATATACACGGAAAGTGAAAAGTCCACATTCGGAAAATGGCCGAGAAACTCCAATGATGTTTTATTCGGATTCAGAAAACACGGACACGATGGAGGAACTTGAATTCGATCAAACATATACGGAGAAAACTTTCCAAAATCGTAGAGAAGCAGAAGACAAACCTGTGTCTGCTTCCGTCAAGCCAGAAGGTGTGGACGTTGATGATATTTCGGAAGGAAGTAGTGTTTTTATTCATGAGGAAGAATCCACAAGTTCAGAATTGAACAACAATGTTACAAAGACACCAACACAATCAAAAACTGAACTGCTGAAAGTTGAATCAGAGTGTCCAGTGCCTCGTTTGGATTTAGACATGGACAGTAAATCGAAGAGTTCCTCTGAGAGCGACAGTGGACCACAGTTAGCTCTTGGTGAAGGTATCGGTAGCCGTATGAAATCCGTTCAAAATCTCTTAGAACTAGATTTCAATGATGGAAGGACGAATTCAGAAAGTACGTATGAGTCTGATTCTCTGAGCAGAAAGGGCAGTAACTCTTCTAATGAGAATAGACCTAACCAAGATTCAGAAGACGCCTTAAGCAGAAAGGGCAGTAACTCTTCCGGTGAGAATAAATCAAACCACGATGCAGCAGACGCCTTAAGCAGAAAGGGCAGTAACTCTTCCGGTGAGAATAAATCAAACCACGATGCAGCAGACGCCTTAAGCAGAAAGGGCAGTAACTCTTCCGGTGAGAATAAAACAAACCAAGATGCAGCACGTTCTTTGATCAGACAAGGTAGTAGTTCTTCCATTGGAACAAAACTAAATTCCAAAATTTCGTCAATTTATTCAGATTACAGAACTGATTACTGTGAAAGATCTCCACGCTCAAACCAAAAACAGTCACAGCCGCCAAAAACAGCTCCTAAGCCCAAGCAAGCACCAAAACCAGCTCCTAAACCCCGAAAACACTTTCAAGTACCAGACAGCTCCTGTTCTAGTCCAAGAGGTAATCTCTCTCCACGAAAAAATGGGGGTTATGTTCCAGCATTGGTTACCAAGGAAACCATCCAAGCAACCAATATGTGTAAATATTCTCCACGGAAACAGATAGATAAGTGGAAAATGCCAGTGTCTGAATCGCAAACCACGAAAAAATCTGGTACTTTGAGCAGCAGTAAGATCAATAAAATTCGCGAACAGTTAACTCAGAGTGACATCAAGCTATCACCACGGCCACGACCTTTGTCAGCTGACCGGGGACGAACTTTTATAGAAATGAAGGCAAGGGAGGAAGAGAAGAAGCGGAAAGAAGCAGAAGAAAAGAAAAATAAGATGAACAACTCTGTTTTGGCTTTGATTGCAGACCGTAAGAAATATTTCAACAATGGTACTTCTTATAAAAGTTTTGAAGACCATTCTCTTAGACATTCTGTGGACAATTCAAAGAAAGATTATTGTCACAAACGAGATGAATCTCAAAGACAATCAAAACATAATTCCAACACAATTAAGGACAATTCCTTATGTGAATCTTTTAAAAATTCTAAAAAAACGTATTCCAAACAAAGCAATGGAACTCGGGATCCATCAAAAAGTTCCAATGATATTGGAATGGAAGACAATTCCTTACGTGACTCTGTAGACAATTCGAAAAGAGTTTCTAGTCAAAAAAGGGAAGATCTTCCCAAATATTTACAATCTGATTTAAAGTCTTCAGAAATATTAAAAGTGAAGTCCACAGGAACTAATCCTCATGAACCGAGAACAATCTTGTCACCAAGAATCTCCTCTCCTAGAGTGTCAGGTTTACGTTCTGATCGCAGTGAACCAATTGTCTCCCCTCGTGGTGTTCCATTAAGAGCTGTTCATAATGAAATTAGTGATAAAAGATTCAAAGACATACCTTCGCCTCGACAATCGCGATCTCAATACCGTAGTCATGGAGACAGTATTAGAGAGGAGCTAAGATCTCGACATAACGTTGTAGATATTAAAGGATGGAGAGAGTTTAAAAGTGAATATGGAAATTACCGTCGAGTTTCTCGTGTAGAATTTAGCTCAGATTCTGAAAGCGAGAAGCCTGAAAAATCAAATTTACGAAAATCTGGAAAAACTTCAAAAAGTAACGATTCAAAATCCAGCTTATCGTTGTCAGGTGACCAGTCTCTAATGAAAAAAATCAGCTCTTTTCAAAATAGGATTATAGAAATAGATCTGGATAATAGTAAACACAATTCACCCAATCAGAGTCGAAGCTTTTTGTCCGAATCATCCAGTCCTTACAGTCCTAGATATCGTTCCAGTTCCCATGATGGTCGAATCTCGTACCTCAAAAATAAACTTGAAACAAGTTTCGAATCCGCTAATACAAAACCATCTTCGTCAAGAAACAGTTCATCTCAAAGGGCAGATAATTCTAAAAGTGATCTTGATTATCTAGACTCAACATATATAAAACCAGTGAGAGATAACTCTGCTTCACGTAGAAATCGACTGTATACATCTACTGATTATCTCACGTCCAATCAGAAGGAAGGGATTGATTCGAGTGAGAGACAGAAGAGGATTGATATTAAAGGAATTAATAGAAGACTAAACTCTGTCAATGTAAGTCATTATTATTATATATTTCTGTAATATCAGTTAATCAGACTAGTTTATATTACACTAAACTTTCGTTCTATTTTTATCAGCTTTTATATTTCGTATAGTTGCTTCAGTTAGGGCTCTTAAACATTCGTCTGAAAACTAGGACGTAAAACTTACTTCATTTCATTTTCATTTCAACATTCGTCTGTTTGATGCCAGCCAATAAACATCCTGCCTCTCCAGCACTGATGAGAACAACGGGTGTTTCAGTTGACTTGATCTTCGGTCTTTTTGTACGGGTCACATTATCTTAGCATGGGAAAAGGCAGAATTTGATTGGCTGGTGGTATCATCAAACAGATCAATGTTTAATAGTGGCGTCTTTAGACCCTAACAGCACCTTATCGCCTAGCAGACGACAATCCAACTAACTACCGATAGAGCTATTTCACTAGGGTTAGAGATCACAATAAATAACAGAACATAATTTTATGGTATACTACTCCTGGTATATAGGCATCCAATGCGACATTTCGTGTTGCAGAATGTTTCCTCAGACTTCATTTTCCTATTAATTTCAGCTTGACAGAGTGGCCTTACAAATGATGAGCACCGTTAAAAACAGATTGAATAAATTTGAAACAACTCTTTCTCCCAGGGTAACCATTTTAACCATTATTTTTTAACAAAACCAAAAACTTGGTCAGAAATATCACAAAATATGATAATGAATCATAATTTTGAGCTTTTAGCTTGTCAAATATGAATTAAGCATTGAGTAACATTTGCCGTTTTCTTTTTATATATGAAAAAATATAGCTTTAAGCTGGTTAAATGTCAATTTAGGCAATAAAATATTGTAACTTGTTGTTTTAACATTACAATTTTAAGCTTTGCTGTTTTATTTATTCAAATATTAAGCTTTTAACTTGGTACATATGAATTATTAAGGGATGTTTTTTCACATTTCGATTTGAACTTTTAGCTTATCAATTGAGATTTAAGCATTGAATAATTTTCAACATGTCTGCTTTCAGTCTCCTAGATTAGATTCACCAAGAGAAAAAGGACCAATGAAAGCAACACAGAACTCAGTAGAGGAAGTTGATGTCAGACGCAACCAATCAAATAAAGAGAACTTACAGACACATCAAAAAGCATCTCATTTAAAATCTTGTAACATTACGCCATCAAGAAGTAGTCCCTTGAAGTCTTGTGATTCTATGGACGGTATTTTTGACAATCGACACGGCCGTTCTCGGAATTTCAGCACTTCGTCCACCATTTCCTTACACAGTGAAAGCAACAGAAGGCCTCAAGCCAGAAACAGTCTCTGCCATTCTTACCTTGACACTTCTAATATTCGAAACAGTCCTGGACGATTTGATCGTGATGCTGTCAAGGAAAGCTACTCATCATTATCAAGAAAAGATTCGGGATACGACAGCTCTTCAATCAGTGGAGGTAGAAATGGTCGTGAGAGTCCGTCGATATCTATTCGAGGTATTAGAAATGAATGTATTAGTCCAGCACCAGTACGTCGAAGTCGATATGAGAGCTGTTTTGATGAAAGAAATTCGTATACTGGAAATCGAAGATCAAGTTGTGGATTTGAAAGTTCGACTGATGATGATTTTTCGCATAATGGTTCGTTTCAAAGGTTGCTGAACGATGATAATCTCCCTTCGAGAAGAAGTGGACATTTTCGATTGGATACACTACGTGACAGTGATGAGTCCATGTCGGATCGTTCCATTTCACGGCCTCTCTCCCGTAGTTCCAGTAACGGCAGAATGAACGAAATATTACAAAAGTTTGAAACTTTGTCTCAAGAAATCTCTCAACCAATGAGAAGATCCGATTCTTTAGGCAGGTTTGAAAATCGACCAATCTCTCCCAGTATTAGTATGGAAAATCTCCGTCAAAAATTCTCCTGTGAAGACTTAAGTCCGCGATCAGACATTTTCTCTCAAGATAATTCCCGGCATTATTTAGGCCGATCGTCCAGGATTTATTAATTCTTGATCATCCAGTCATCTCATCATCAACGCAATTACCATAGCAACCGCTATCACTGTAACTGCAGATAAATTAAAAATTTAAACAACAAAATCTGATTGGTTCTTATTCTTCAATAAATTAATCTTGGAGATCATTTTCTGAAAGCTATGAAAACAAACATGTGGTTGAAACCTTACTTTGATGAATCAGATATTGAATTTGAGGTTCTATTGACCAATCAGATTGCAGCATTTTCTGGAATCTGAACTTCTCAAAAGCTGATAAATTCAAAAACCACAAAGTCTGATAGATAGAGCAATAGACATTTTTCATAATGAATTTAATATCATTTATAATAATTTTATATCATTAATCAATATTAAATTGAAACATTTTCTCCAAAGGACTATTTGATTACTTTTCCTTGTCATTAATTTGTTCCTTATTTATTTTAAACCAATTGTAAATATCTCATGTTCATCAATTTCTGTATATTTAATTTGTAAATAAAAATCTGTGATATTTTAAAGTAAAATCTGTGATATTTATAATGTAAAATCTGTGATATTTATAATGTAAAATCTTTGATATTTATAATGTAAAATCTGTGATATTTATAATGTAAAATCTGTGATATTTATAATGTAAAATCTGTGATATTTAAAATGTAAAATCTGTGATATTTAAAATGTAAAATCTGTGATATTTATAATGTAAAATCTGTGATATTTAAAATGTAAAATCTGTGATATTTATAATGTAAAATCTGTGATATTTATAATGTAAAATCTGTGATATTTATAATGTAAAATCTGTGATATTTGTAATGTAAAATCTGTGATATTTGTAATGTAAAATCTGTGATATTTATAATGTAAAATCTGTGATATTTATAATGTAAAATCTGTGATTTGTCTAGTTCTGGTTATAGTGATAACAATTAAATAATTTTAATTGCAATAAATTATAATTGAAGATTTGTTACAATAAAAAATACAATTGTTCTACTTATAACCTTTGTTTAAATTTTAGATTACTATTTTTAACAAGTTTACAACAAAGTTTGAAAATATTTCATGTGATTTTTGTATATAGTTTCATTATATATATCTTATTTATTTGTAAATTAATCGTCTAATTTATACAAGCAATAAATTTATATTTTGTTTTTTTAAATTATTGTTTTTATAGCTCAATATAAGGATCTTTCTAGCTTGCATACTAATTTTTCATATCTCTCTATAAAAATCAAAGATTTCACAATTTGGTATCATACCATTAGATATTTTCTGACTAACAGAGATCTATATAAATAAACCAAGTACTAATGATTTTAACTGCAAAACAAAACCGAAATTTAAAACAAGATATTGCCAAACATATTGGTAGCAGCTAATGAACTTTTCACATGAGGAAATATATTACTATTTCTACTGATGTATATTATATAGTGTTGCATTTAATCTCTGAGACTAATTTTGATGTTCAAAAGAAAAAAATACCAAGGAATATATGATGGTATAACACATTTCTTTAATAACAAAGTATATAACATTTCAACACAATTTACACGTGTTGTCATCAGATGAAATGAAGAAAAGTGATGATGACACGTGTAAATGGTGTTGAAATGTGCTTTGTTATTAAAGAAGTGTGTTACCATCATATCGCTGGGTTAGAGCAAAAACATTGTAAGTGACTTATATTTCCTTGTGATTTTGTTATATGTACTCTATACTGTCATTCAATTTTAGTTGCTGTTGGTATTAAGCCAATTATAAGCATTTTCACAGATGACAGATCGAATTTTGGCATGTTTGTATATTTATGTCATGATTAAAAATGCATGTGCATGATGAAAAAAAATTATTCTACAATTTAAAACAGGTAGGCACTTTCAATACATTCAGAAATAGAAAGAGAACAATTATATTTTACAACGATCCTGTCTACCTCAGAATTCCATTATAAGAATCAGAAACTTGGCACAGAATATTCGACACTTGAAGAACTCTCAATTCCATTGCCCTTAGCAACCATAATCCATTATTCTCAATTCAATTGCCCTTAGCAACCATAATCCATTATTCTCAATTCCATTGCCCTTAGCAACCATAATCCATTATTCTCAATTCAATTGCCCTTAGCAACCATAATCCATTATTCTCAATTCCATTGCCCTTGGCAACCATAATCCATTATTCTCAATTCAATTGCCCTTAGCAACCATAATCCATTATTCTCAATTCCATTGCCCTTAGCAACCATAATCCATTATTCTCAATTCCATTGCCCTTAGCAACCATAATCCATTATTCTCAATTCCATTGCCCTTAGCAACCATAATCCATTAGTCTCAATTACATTGCCCTTGGCAACCATAATCCATTAGTCTCAATTCCATAATACATTAGCTTCAAAAATCAGAAATTTGAAAAATTAAAAAAAAACGAAAATTCTTGGTTATTTCAGATGGAGGACGAAAGAATGGAAGAGGACAGACTAGAGAGAGAAAGACAAGAAAAGGAAGAGGTAGGAAGAATAAAATTTCATTCATCCATTCATTTGTTTTGTCTCTCTATTCTCCAATATATTTGTTAGTTTTTGTGTTCTGTTATTGTCTGGTATTTTCCACTGTTTTTGTGTCTAAGAATTAGAAATAGGATTTAGAAATTCGTATCAGGTTTAGAATTGCATTAAAAATTTCATTAATTCAAACTTTTATTGGCAAAAATGATGTGAAAAATCACATAACCCAACTTTTGACACTAAATTGTAACTTGAAATAAGTTGCTTAGAATAAGAAATCAGGTGTATATATTGTTATCTTCTAAGGTCCTTCTTATTGTAAAAATACACTCAACTCTGTATGCATGAGATCAGTTTCATGACAAATATCCAAGATTCAGAGATAAAAATCACCAAAATTTTAAATAAATTTAAATGCACATGAAAGTTATCTAAAGGAAAAGTAAAGGAATGGATATTGCTTGTGCTGATAACACAAATTCTAGTGTACTATTTCATTATGTTTATAAGATGCCATCTAAAGGTTAAATTTCTCTCCCATTGTCTGTGCTCTAAGCAAATAACACCATCTTCACAATGTTATTACAAACTTTGTCTTATACCTTGACTGCTATAGCCAATGTTTTTGTTTAACGGAATGCAGCTATTTGATTGTATTCTAGTCAATTAAATACATCTACTGAAAAACTGTCAATATTATAGCATATTGTTTACAGACTCTCTGTCAAGGCCTCTGATTGGCTGTATTTGATTGCATACGATCTAATCTAATTATTAAATTTACAAACGTCTGTGATACAAGAACAGTGGCTATTGTAGTCAGTATGAAGATGATAATAAGCCTACAAACTTCTATTTATTCTCAAGTCTAAAAACTAAGAAAACATCTGAAATATAAACTCAGAAATATATGTGTATATTATGGTGTATTTTTTGTTTATTTTTATGTCGTTGTTTTTATTTTCTAGTTAATTCAGGTACGTTTAAAATTCAGGTGAAAATTTCTCGATAACCAATCAAATATTACTTGTATTCTGCTTCCTAAAACGATGTTTCCCCCGCAAATTAAATTGAAATTTAATCGGAATTAATTCAAGTTTATATCCAAATCAATGTTTTTCTCTTGATGTACTTTGACAGCTAATCCGTGTAAATAACCAACAACATCCAAACAACAACAACAACAATATTACTCTACAGAGTTACCTAACTTTAAAGTGATTTTAAAAAGGTTTTCTGAATTTTTCATGTGTATCAGCAGAGACACTGATAGCATCAATTTGCATCATTACATCTATGGTTCCTGCAATTCCACTAAAACTAGGCGTTTGATGATGTCACTAATCGAAAAGGGCCTCATGTGATAAAAGCATATTTTGCAATTAGTGACATCATCAAACATTTATTCTTAATGGAATTGCAGGAACCACAGACATCTGATTGGAATGGTGTAAATTGATGCTATCAGTGTCTCTGCTGATACACATAAAAAATTCAGAAAACCTTTTTAAAATCTCTTTAATACCTGCCCAGAGTTCTATTTTTAAATCATATTAAATAGATATGACCCACTATTAGTACAGTTAAATCATTAGATTGTAAAATTTAAATTAGGTAACTTAGTAAAATTTAAGGAGGCCATTTAGGAATGACATCTGTTACAATCTGTTAGATTTTTAGGGTGTAAATGGATATTCAAAATTCTGACAAACATAAGTTAGGTAACTGTGTAGGGTGATTCTAAAATAAACCAACAATTTAAAAACCTGATCTAATATTTTACAGCTATTGTCTTAAAACAATTTACTTAAATCATATAATTTTATTTTCTACTGTCTACCATTAACATTGTATAGGGGGTGATTAGGTATTATAGGGTGAGAGTTGTCACCTTGCAGGCTCTCTGAAGCACTGGCACAGGCATCAGGATTTTTCTCACCTTGAGGAAGATTGCAATTTTGGGTGAAGAGCAATTGAGGTGAAAGGGAACAATTGGTTTGAGGGGTGTCTATTAAGAGAAAGGAGAAATTAGGAATGTGGGTAGGGGTGGAATTTTGTGAAAGGGTGAAATCTATCAGAAGGAGCAATCATGTTGAATTTAGAGAATAACTGAGGATACCATGGCAATAAATTATGAAAAGGCGATGAACATTTATTGGACTCATTTGAGGCAAAGATGCAAATCTTTCAATGAACATAAGTTAAGACAAAAGGTCTTCAAATGACCAAACTATGTTCTAGATATTTTTTGTTAATTTGATCACAATAAATAGGAATATTTCTCATTTTGTATCAATTTATCATTATATAAGTCATTTTTTCATCTGTGTTTTGTGTTTCTAGGAGTTTTTTTCATCTTAAAAAATACAACAATTGTTTTTGATTATTTTGTATGAGAATATTTTGAATAATTTGCGACTAATTAAATAACTTAACGAACTAATGAATTAATTAAATATTAAAATATTAATTGCATGATTAACTAATGAACATCATTTATATTTAAAAGTTTTTTTATATTTTTTTTATATTTTTTACCCATTATTTAATGTTGTTCAATTAAAATAAGTTTTGAAAATTCTCAGCTGATGATATTTTTGAGGTTGTTTTTTTTTTTCAAATGTTTGAATTTTTACTCTTGTTTTACATTTTATTGCCATTTTCTGAGTTTCAAATTTAATTAATACTTTTATAAATTTTAAAACTTTTTCTACTAAAAACTTTGAGTCAAGTAATTTTTCAGTTAACAAAATCAAAAAAAAAAATTAAGATTTCAAATTTTTATGAATTTGAGAAATTCAAAATGAAATATTTTAGTAAAAGATATAGAAATGAAATTAGATAAGTTTCTACCCTGAGTAGATTTTTTTAGAATTTAGACATTTATTTTGTAGAATTCCAAAATTTAGACATCTCATTTTCAATCATCTCAAAAATATTTCAACACCAAAACATTTTATTTATGCTCATTAAAATATTAAATATGCAAATTTCAATATTTTTATGCAAATGAGAATAATTCTTATGCAAATTAAAGGATTTTAGATGAATTATCAAGTTATTCAGCACATTGTGTGTATAAATTTCTATTTCAAAAGCAATTTTAATTCCTATTAATAATTTTGAAAGTAAAAGTTATTTTTCTTCTTGTTCTTTTATAATATTCTTTTTATTATTTTTTTTCAAAAAATTTATTTTTTTCATTTAATCATAAAATCACATGGTAGACAGATTCCCTGTAGCATAGATTGTCAGATGTCATGTCATTGACAATAATGTCAGATGGCATTAAGTGATGTCATGACAATGTCAATGACCAGTGTCATTATGACATGTCAGTGACGTCATGACAATATCAGAAGTTGTGTGATATCCACATTGCTTGTGTAGAAACTTTCCCTTTTTATATTGTGTTGAATTTCATTGTCCATAAATTTGAAATATTTTGCCAGTAATGGAGCTATTCAACATGGCTTCAATTCTGTAGAGTTCACATGGCTGATTCTAACTGTTTAGTTTCGATCTGAAATAAGATATAACATGAATATTCATGAGGCAGATTTTAAGTCTTTAAATTGATTGACAATGAAATTCGGAGTGTTGACAAAATACAATTCTCAGATTTTTGAAAAGAAAAGTCTGAAATGAATGATTTTGTCAACAATTGTTGTGATCACCCTTTGTATTTTCTATTTACATGGATCAAGCTAGTTTGAATTTCTAATAGTTCAGGTCAATAAGCCTGTTAAGACTGCTGTTGTACATTGCTTAAGGTATCAAAGGAGATTTGATCAAGCTCACAAAACAACAGAACTAATTTGAGGGCATTAACAAGCCTAAAGAGTGCATTATAAATCCACTGAAAAGGGCACCTGCTATGAAAGTCCAAAAACTAGCTAGATCCAAACACCATCAATATATGTCATATTAATTCTCTTTCACCACTCCAATGTTAGGCCAGACGCAAGAAAGAAGAAGAAATGAAGAAGAAGGGCAAGAGAAAGGGGCTGGGTGGTTTGTCCCCGGAGAAGAAGAAGATGCTGAAGGTATGAAATCAACCAAAAAATCAAAAAAATCATCTTCAATAGATCTTGATACAATAAGACGCCACATTGAAATTTTGACTTCTATTTTTATTTGGTCAGATTAGAATGATAAATTGTTAATTATAAATTTCCTTAATAATTAGAATATAAATTAATGTCAAATTTAATGATAACACACCATACTTTAGGCCCTATCCTTTTTAAGATGACCCTTTCAGACTGACCTCCAAATCAAGGTCAAATTTTATATGGTGTATAAAGTATAGTATTGAGATCTTATCTGATATAATCCAATCAAAATGAAGCTTCTTAGTGTATACTTTAATGACGGAAAGATGATAAAATTTTTAACATTTTCAATCTTCATATTAACATGATTCACCTTTTGAAACTTTAACCTTTCACCTTCTAGACTATCATAGCTTTAATTAATATAACAGTTATCTACCTTGAATTTCTCAATTCAGGGGAGATAATACAACGTAACTAATAATTTGTCGTTTAAGTAGGACTCAGACTATAACTCTGTTTCTTCAAAGTTTGTGGTTTTTGATCAAAAATTCAGCTTGCTTCAAAAAACGAATTTTCAATGTAGATACTGCTACATCATTCCATTTTGTAATGAAATTTTTGTTTGTATTGAAATTTCAAAATAACTTTGAAGAAACCAACAGAAAGGTAAGTGATTAATATAAGAACAGACAACAATGGCGGTGCCTAGAAAAATGATTTGCACCCCTAATTGTACCCCACTTTATTCCAACATATTCAAAAATAGGATTTTTATACTTTTGCCCCAAAATATGTGTCAGAATCAAATCAATTCAGTTTAATTATTCGAAAATATTCTTGTTGAGAACCATCTCAGACAATCCATAGACTTGCTACTGTAACACTTTCACAGAGTTGCTGCATTTTGAATTCAGCCTCGACAGTTGTCCCCCCTAGACATAAGATAGTGACGTCATATAATGAATAGCCAATCTGACATCATCTCACTAGCCATCACATATATTATAGTCTCGCTAGCCTTGACCCACTCAACAGCAAGAAAATGGGCTTAAAACTGAAAGTATCATTCAATAGTTTAATCAATTCCAAATTTAATGATGTAAAATATGATAAGTTTTAAGTTAGTGAGACTGGAGAAGGAGGCTTTAAAGACATCATGCAGTGACATAACGTTAGCTTTTCAAGGTTTGCGTTATGAGCCTCGTTCTGGATTCAACTGGCCAACGCATGAATAAGGTCTATTGTATTAAATGTCAAATTTATTTAAAACTCGGTCTTGATATTGGCGTATGCCTCAGGAACAAAATGATGTCTTGTCAACTTTGCATGATGGAGGTAAGAATGTGTTTCTTTGGCTTGTAGCATTCCCAATTCCCCTTCAGACTAATGGTAAATCTACATTGTAATAATTTTGATGAAAATGACTGATGCCCCCCGTAACTGATAAGTGGATAACAAACAGTCATATTTTTAGAATCAAAATCTTAATACATGACAATGCCTTAAAGGGATTGTAAAGAGGTTTTCTAAAAAAATTTGTGTATCGGGGACACTGATAGGATCAATTTGTACTATTCCAATTTCAATCAGACGTCTATGGTTCCTGTAATTCCAATAACCAAGTGTTTTATGATGTCACTAATCGGAATATATCGCAGAACTTCTGGATTAGTGACATCATAAAACGCTTAGTTTTAGTGGAATTGCAGGAACCACAGACATCTGATTGAAAATTAGAATGATGCAAAATGATGCTATGAGTGTCCCCAATACACATAATTTTTTTAGAAAAACTCCTAACAATCCCTTTAATGTTTGTGAGAAAAATTCAAATATCAGGAATCATAAAGTAAGTATTTAAGAATTTCTGTTTTAAAATTATTTAGTTTAACGCAAAAGACCTGGAGGCATTTAGAATTGTACAAATTTGAATTGTTATTTTTATAAAAGAGGCTTCAAAAATTGAAGTTTCCGGGTAAGCAAATGAAAAATGCCAACATAAGAACCTAATCTGGACATAATGTGATTGATTCACCCCTTATCATATAATGAACTCTTCATAACACATATAATGCTAATGACTATATGCATGTGCAGAATGGTTCATTACAAGATCAAGGGGTGTTAGATCACTAAAATTCAACAATCATTGTGGTATTAATGTTTACTGATATTCTAATCAAAGTATTTATTTACTGGGCTTAAATAATATTTTAACTTTTAATTTTACTTGCTTAACATTCTTGTAGCTGTTGAGGTTCATTGGTGATGGGAAATTCTTCTGGGCTGGGGCTCTGATGTTCTGGACTTGTGGTTTTTGTGGGTGGCTGAGGGGGGTAGAAGATTTTTGGTTAATGGAATTGTTTTGCTTGAACGGATTATTATTGGAAATGAAATAAATAGAGTTTTCACATCCTAATTGGACAACACCATGCAGTGTGCAATGAGGGAAATTTTGTCAGAACTGGGGCATTAGACTACTATTTTCAATTTCCATCTGTCGAGGAATCTTTACCGTGCACAGCCTTTAGCACACGGGGCCTCGGTTTATTGTCCCATCCGAACGACTTTTCCATGTCAGGATATTTATTGGAGGGCAAGTGAATTGATTATGAGGGATAATAAAAAAAACCAAGTACTAATGATCCAAACCTCAAAACGTAATCCAAACAACATTTTGGCGAAACATTGGTAGCAGTTGATGAACTTTTCATATGAGGAAGTATATCAATTATAAGTGAGTAAGTAATTCAAAATATAAAGTGGTATCAGGTGTCTAGAAGAATAAGCATACCCTGTCTGGTGCCACACCCGCCATAGCTGCTCAACAAACACAACAAACACTACAAATAGGAAGGCGCCAGAACAACACACTACAAGAATGAATATAAGTTGTATATTAACTATCAGTACTTAATGTTACTAATTATTATTGACTATATTGATTGTCTCCCCTTGGCTTTCGATATTTCAATCTTTCCTCTGTTAGATATTCTAACATCTACTCATTATAAACTAAACTTTCATTTGCAGATTACTTTCTTTTCATTTCATTTCACTTCACGTCAGTATATTATATTACATTTTCATTTAATATCATTTCATTCAGAATTATTTTTCATATCTTTTTTTTCATTTTATTTCATTTCATTCTGTAACATTTCATTTCTACTTTGGAACATAAGTTTCAAATGATATAGTCTATAATTCTAAAACTACGGGCATTATTTTCCAGAAACTGATTATGCAGAAAGCTGCTGAAGATCTGAGAAACGAGGCGAAGAAGAAGGCGGAGGAGAAAGAGAAACATATTAACGATAGAGTCGAACCTCTGAAAGTTGACGGTCTTAGTCAGGGTAGGTAGCTAATATTTCAACTTAGTCTAAAGAAACTAGGACCATTTTACCAATTACTGAATAAGATCAACGTTCTGTAGGAGAACGTATAACAGATATTTTAAAAAAATCAGAACAAGCAAGACAATTCCATCAATCAAAAATATCGTCCAAAGAATCAGGAGTAAAAGAAGTATAGTAGTGGACTCCTCTAAAGAAAATACCATCTTAGTCTAAAGAAACTAGGACCATTTTACCAATTACTGAGTAAGGTCAACGTTCTGTAGAAAAGTTGATCAATATAACTTGATATCAATGGCATATTTAGGCTGTGCTTTTTGGGCTACGCCCCCCTCAAACTATAAAAAATGCAAAAATCATTCTACTTTCACTTCCAAAATCACATTAGATGTATTCTTCTGCCTTACAACATTGGAAACTTTTCCAGGGAGAGGCCACCCTCTTTATAGTCTGAAGGAGAATAGAATTGGTGGCATTTTTGAAATCTTAGTTTTAGATTTATATCTAGATATCTTTCAATAACTTTTATTTTTATTGGTAGACATATTTTCATAACTAGCTCTACTTTTATAATTTTTTTTATTTTCAATAATCAGCATGTTTTAAAGTGTTAAATAATTTTTTTTCTTTTTGACTCCTATTTATCTTTGTAATACATAGTTACCATCGTAAATATTACTGTCTTACAGTTAGCTATCACTATAGCTATTTTCCTTTCAAAATGAAACACTTACATACAATGACTTCATTTCTTTAAGTTCTCAACTTCTCAGTGGTTATTGATGTTGTATTTCAACAAGAACATACCCTATGTCTTAAGACAAGGACATCCATTTCTATTTTATCTTGTCTTGTCAATGCCACTGGATCTTGAAATTAAGTTGACATTAAGGACTTCTGCCCTGTATTTGTATCTATTTATCTTATCTTATCAATTTGTCATTGGCATTAGATTGTGTATTTAGATTAATGATTTGGACTATAAAGTTTAATTTTCTATAACCAACTAACAATTTCTTTATACTAATCATTGAAGGTGATCTTAAAAAATACTGTGAAACTCTGCAAGACAAGCTGGTAAAACTAGAGGAAGATATTTATGATTGGGAACATCGCCTACGTAAACAGGAATTTGAGGTATGTAGAGGGCAATAACTCTATTTAGTGTGACTAATGTATATGTTTTATTTTGTTTTTATAAGGTGGATTACGAACTTTATGTAAAGAATTACAGAAAAAATACGAACAACTGGAAGCAGACGTCTACGACTGGGAATTTAAGATACGCGAAAAAGAATTGGAGGTTTTTTATTTTCCTGTTTCAATCTGGATTGAATTTTTGAATTGCTAAGGGAGGGGAAGACCTAAATTTTTCTTCGACATGGGCTTCTATAAATAACATTGGAACACCCTACAGTTAGGTGATAACTGACAAAATAATTATAAACTTGGACCACCCTCAGGAATATTACCCTAGGTGATAACTGATGTTTCCATAAACAGACAATAGTAAAAAATAATTATAAACTCAGACCACCTTCAGGAATACAATTCAAAGTTCTAAAGGTGTTTTTATAATCTCATGATGGCTTGCTGGAGTAATTTCTGCAGAACTTTTCACATGTTACCCACTGACATAAATGTTGTCTTGTCTTTTAAATGACTAAAAAAATATTGATTACCTCCCTTAATTACCTTTATCAAGGCTTTACCCGTGAATATTCGCTAACGAGTTAATTAAATTGTCAAACCTTTACCTGTAAATAATAGATTGATTACAGCTTTCATCTCTTCCTTACCAATCAAAACTACAATCCAACTTTAATAATCAAATCTAATATATTTTCATGTTAATGGTATTTTATTTTAATCTATTATTTTGCTAATGTTTTATTAATTTTTATCTTTTCTAGCAGATTTTAACACTTCATTTTTAACATATTTATTCTACAGAATGATAAATTCTAGAAAACTAGATATATGGATATGTGAAGTATAAATTTTACAACGATAATTAAAGAGAGTGTAAAGAAGTTTTCTATATTCTGTATGTATATCGGGGACACTGATAGCATCACTTGACACCATTCTAATTTTCAATCAGACGTCTGTAGTTCCTGCAATTCCACTTAAACTAAGTGTTTGATGATACAAACTAATATTGCGATAAGTTACGTCATCAAACACTTAGTTTAAGTGGAATTGCAGGAACCACAGACATTTGATTGAAAATTGGAATGNTNTCAAGTGATGCTATCAGTGTCCCCGATACACATACAGAATTTAGAAAACTTCTTATAATCTTTTCTATTAATAAGTACCTTTTCATAATTCAACATTGTCTGTATGAAAAAGTGAAAGAAATGAAAATGAATTTTGAAATAGTATATCCATATTATCTAGTGATTCTTTACTGACAGCTATTTCTATATATCTTATAACAAGACTTTCAGATTGTTGGGTATCGAGAAAAATAATTATTAACTATTATAAAAGGGACAGGTTCAACATACGTTTGACCAATCGTACCTTAGTCTTAGAAACGGGAATTTTTTAGCTGTGCCAATCAGTAATAGTGTTCACAGCTCACTGTAAAAATGTGAACCTTCAAATCCTTGTGTGTCCAGAATTAATTCGTTTGAAAGTTAAAATGACGACTCGTCTTTTCTTGAGACACTGCCATAACATTTACCCAAAAATTTCTAAGTCACTTTTGAGCAAATAATGATATGGTTTATCATTTCTAAGATTGTTAACAAATGAAATATATTAATAACTTTAAACTGCTTCAGTTAATCAACATGAGGCATTGGACTTCTTCTAAATTGACTACAAATATTTCTAAGGATTTCATGGAACAAACAGAGTCTGTTCAAGAGACTTGTTTCTCAATTTGATGCGAACTTTGCAAAATCATAAAGTATATGTTGAGTGAAAAATGGCACAAAAATGGCCAGAAAAGCTTCAACTGGGTGGTTTTAAGTCCCAAGCCAATAATTTGAGAGTTAAAAATTTAGAATTTAGTCTTTGTTGATTAGCTTCAATAATATTTCATTTTTTAATTTATTTGATTAAAATGCAAACTAAATTTAATTAATGTTTTTTTCTTTAACTTTAGCAATGTATTATTTACTAATTTGCTACAATCTTATATCATATATATTATCTTTTATCTTTACTAATTTGCATTATGGTTTGTTTGACAATGTTCAGACTTTTTATTTTCATTTTCAATATATTCTGGCAAGCTCAGTGTGGGCTTCTTTTCAATGAATACCAGAGAAGGGGAAATTTTGTCTCTACTTTTAAAAGAGTCCACACAGCAAACAGTGTTTATAAGTTTTTATTATGATCAGAAGGCAATGATATATCTTAAAGAAATGTTGTTTATCAATCTTAAAAAACAATATGGTGGATTGTTTAAGAAATATTAATTTTTGTTAAATCTTTATCATTTATGATTTAATTCTACTGAATATAAAAAGAGGTAAACAAAAATGATAATTCACCAAAAAAATGAAACATGTCCTAAACAAACCACCATACCAACCTCATTTATTTATATAGAAATATTCTAATAATATTTTGAAGCCAATTTTACCAATTAATTATAATTAAATTTCAGATTAATGATTTAACAGTTAAAGTTAACGACACAAAAGGCAAATTGTAAGTTAAATAACCAAAATTTTTCTGTAGACAGTTATTTGTGTATATTCAGTACCCCAAGGCAGTCCATCAAACATAGTTAACAAGTTATATTTACTTATTGCTTATTTCATAACACTCCAGTACTACAACTTGGAAAATATAGTGCTAGTAAAATATGGTGCTAGTAAAATATAGTGCTAGTAAAATATGGTGTTAGTAAAATATGGTGCTAGTAAAATATAGTGCTAGTAAAATATAGTGCTAGTAAAATATGGTGCTAGTAAAATATAGTGCTAGTAAAATATAGTGCTAGTAAAATATGGTGCTAGTAAAATATGGTGCTAGTAAAATATGATTCTTATCAATCAATGAAATTATTTTCTACTGTTTATTTTTAGTATGAAACCAGTCTTAAGAAAAGTTAACAAAACCGAAAGCAAGTAAGTAATGTTGATATTCTATGTACATTTCCCATTTAAGAAAAGAAAGAAAGAAACAATTATATTTTACAAGAATAACAACTTAGGTTAACCATCTTTGAGATCGTGTTTTATTTTTACAAGTTAAAGTTGAAATGTAGCCAGGGAAACCACCGTATTCGTGACTAACTAACAACAAACTGTACTTTTCTGATTGTCATACATGTATAAATTTAAACAAAAAAACAAAATGAAAGAAACAACCATATATAAAAAAGGATATGTTACAGTATGCGAAGATTCTACCAGCTGGTTCTTGGTCAAACCTCTTGTCATTGATCTTTCCCAGATTATCCGTACACATTTACAGTTGATCGACTGGAATTATGAGTTAAGATGACCTTGTCAAGGTCATCGGAGACAAAATTCACCACCAATGATAGTATATTGTTTATTTCAGATTTTCCAAATTGGAGAGGAAAGAAAATCGTGATTTCCGTGGTAATCTTAAATCTACCGGCCAGAATAAATATAAATTAGAGGAGGAAGAAACGGTAAGAGAATTTTCAACAATAGATTGCTCATTCCTGACTGGTAAATTCGGGTTACAGTTGTTTATGAACGTGAATATTGTCTGTTTGAATTTGAAACAATATAAAATATCTGACTAGTCTGATTCTGTTAACATGAAATAATGGAAATTCAAACCCAGACACAAGCTATCTGAGAAAACACCGCAAAATAGTTAGAAATGAGTTCTCTGGGCTTTTAATTGTCAAATTCTCATGAGGGAGGACTCATAGAACTTGTGCAGATATCCAACAGCACCACCCGACAGTCGACAGCACCACCGCAGTACAAAATCAGAACCTTGGTTCCATTTCACTCCTGGTTACATAGCTTCCTAACACTCAATTTTATTTAAATTCACGTCTAGAAAGAAAATTTTATATGTTATGTCAAATTTATAAATTTCAGAGCAAAACCCCCGACTGGCGAAACACATTGAAGGGTAAGGAAGAAGGAGGCGAGCACGGAGAAGAGGAGAGTTGAAAAGAAAGTAGTTCCGTCCCCGTGTATTAATACAATCCCTGTAATTGATGAAAGACTTGCCAAGTGTTAAATATCATTCTCCCGTTGTCAGGGGCAACCATAGATTTTAATTATGTTGTATCAGTAGTCTACATTTAGAGGATTTTATTCAAAATCTGAATTTTTTTTTTTTTTTTTTCATTTCTACCTTGAATACATTTTCGTGAAAACAATGTTAATATAGTGAAATAGTAAAATAAAGTAAAATATAAATTAAGAAATTCTGAAGTTTGAGTTGTTTTGTTCATTCTATATTCTGGTGTGAACTTTCAATATCTAATCAAGTCTCACAAAACAATTCAAAAGAACTGGAATTATTCTTAAAATTTTCATCAAAGAAAATTTTCAAGGAATAGGCCTGTAAAATATCAATATTTTTTGAAAAATTCTGTTTTTAATAACTTATTTATTTTCAATTCTATTTATTTATTTGTATTTAGTTTATTTAATTAAATGTAGTCTAGTTCACTATCATAGTAGGTACGTTGCAATAATTTTTTTTTCTTTTTTGGCTTCAACATTTTATTTTCTAAAACCATGATGTGAGATATTTGACAGAAATAGGAATTCTTTTTCGTAATTTTCTCAAATTTTCTTCATTAATTCTTGTCTAATCAAGATTTCCCAGAGATTTCCACCTACTTGGGCGACTTTTTTCGATCTACACCTAATGAATATCTGGCTTCTGTTATTGCCAATGTTGGTAAATTCACTTTAAAAAGAATTTCTGGTTATGAAAAGGCACGAAGTTCTTCCTTGTCATATAGCATGATATTAGTACATTCAGTGAGAGAGACGGCAATATTACAAAGAATTCATAAAGCTATTTAATAATAATTACTGAAAAAGCTCAAAATGGTTGGAAAGATCAAGTGATGCCTAGTTTTGAAAAGGCAAAATTATTAATTATAAACTTTCGGTACTAATACCAGTTAAAAAGGAACAAATATATTATTATTTATTTTTGGGTTTTTTTGACAGCCACAAAACCCGAACAAAGCCAAAGGGGAGACAATCTTGATTAGTAGAGAATATTTATGTAGTAACTCTTCAATATATTGAGTGAAAGAGATAAAAATAACGTCCTTAATGTGTGTGAGTGGTTGTAGTAATCAAAAAATGTCGAATTACGTTTTTCAAAATAAGGGACATAATTCTTTATGTTTGACGTTAATTCAAATCCTCTTCATAGAAAAGTTGTGATCTTGTATATAAAGATTAAGGCGTCAAAAGATGAACTGGCGCAACAATTGTCTAAATATAGTAATTATCTCCCTTTAATTAGACTCTTCTTGCTTGTGGCTGGTTTCAACTTTATTTATGACTTGAAGAAAATATGTAAATTTCCAACCAATGAGAACATAAAGTTGTGATAAATTAAAAAATTAAAGATATTTGCCATCAAGACAGTTTTTTTTACAGATTTGGTGTTGGAACTTTACTAAGATTAAATCCTGGTTTTACCATATCAAATTCTATTTGTAAATAAAACCCCGATTTAAAATCAATTTAAGAGATTGACCAATCAAATGACTGGAACACTAACACCATCATAAGATTTCGAGAATAAGACCCGTGAAATTCCAATCAGAATTAACAGGGAATTGAACAGAGTATCATCTTTAGCATAATTTCTTCAATTTGTTATCTTTTGTAAATATGAGTTATTGCCCCTGATATTTATTTATTAGAAAGTATTAGAATTGCTTATCATCTTGATTGTTTTAAAGGGAAAATTAATTCAACTGAACTTTGAATATCAGATAAATTTGTTACAAAATCCACATAATTACAAAAAGATTGCCAGACCCTAAAAAAAGTTGATTTTAGGTAACATTTTGTGAAAATCCAAGAATTCCCTAATAAACTTTCCGTAAAAATAAAAAGAGAGTTTACGGGGCCACAAGATGTGAAATATATTTGATTTTAAGCAAAATTGTTTGGCTTATCAAACTTTCTTTAAAACAATCAAGACAAAAACTGAATATTTTTGAAGAAATTGATTTTTTTTTGTGATTTTACTTAAGATTTGAGGTTGTATAGAACAAAATGAAAATATTGCCGAGCCAATTGTTTGCTGTATGCCAAATATTGTATTTGTTGTCAGAAGCCATTTTACTAGTGTATGTATTGCATTGCCAGCTCCTAGGCTAGGATTATATTTCAATTAATTCTGTTAGAGAAACAAAATAAAAATAATGAAAAAACTACAAATTGTTTGCTTTATAATATAGAGATCCCAGTAAGAAGAGTTTATTAACCTTGCTGGGGGTAATATCAACCTTGCTGGGGGTAATATCAACCTTGCTAGGGGTAATATTAACCTTGCTGGGGGTAATATCAACCTTGCTGGGGGTAATATCAACCTTGCTGGGGGTAATATTAACCTTGCTGGGGGTAATATTAACTTTGCTGGGGGTAATATTAACTTTGCTGGGGGTAATATTAACCTTGCTGGGGGTAATATTAACCTTGCTGGGGGTAATATTAACTTTGCTGGGGGTAATATTAACCTTGCTGGGGGTAATATTAACTTTGCTGGGGGTAATATTAACTTTGCTGGGGGTAATATTAACTTTGCTGGGGGTAATATTAACTTTGCTGGGGGTAATATTAACTTTGCTGGGGGTAATATTAACCTTGCTGGGGGTAATATTAACCTTGCTGGGGGTAATATTAACTTTGCTGGGGGTAATATTAACCTTGCTAGGGGTAATATTAACTTTGCTGGGGGTAATATTAACTTTGCTGGGGGTAATATTAACTTTGCTGGGGGTAATATTAACCTTGCTAGGGGTAATATTAACCTTGCTAGGGGTAATATTAACCTTGCTGGGGGTAATATTAACCTTGCTGGGGGTAATATCAACCTTGCTGGGGGTAATATTAACCTTGCTGGGGGTAATATCAACCTTGCTAGGGGTAATATTAACCTCTTGCTGGGGGTAATATCAACCTTGCTGGGGGTAATATTAACCTTGCTGGGGTAATATTAACCTTGCTACGGGTAATATCAACCTTGCTGGGGGTAATATTAACCTCTTGCTGGGGGTAATATCAACCTTGCTGGGGGTAATATTAACCTTGCTGGGGGTAATATCAACCTTGCTGGGGTAATATTGACATAATATTAGGGGTAATGAAAAACTCTGAATATCAAGGAGGCTATTAGGCTCCCATGTTGGGTACAGGGGTAGATTTTACCATTTTAAGATGCTTTGGAAGTGATTTTCTATGTAGAAATCTTTTCATCACTTTATTTTCAGTGGTTTTATTCATAACAAAATAGCACTGGACAGAAAAAGAGGAAATCCTCTAGAGGATTATTTTGCTGAGTTGTGCACTATAAAAGGCCAGTTCAAAACAAAGTTAGATATATGCAAAGGTTGAAATTACTTTTGAGATTTCAAAACAAATTACACTGTTACAATTTGTGTAAGATTAGGCCTTGGAACATTCGTCCCAAAAGAAATTAAAAAATTCAAAGTTTACATAGTAAATTTATATACAGAATATTTATAAGGTATAAAATCAAGAATTCAACTCTAGAAATTTTCGACAAGCTCGATCACACTGCTGATATACTGTCTCAAAACTCTCAATCTTATTACTCTGGAATATAAGATATTAATAACTCGGTTTAAAGGTTGTAACTTTGTACTAATGACAAAGTTACGAAAGCACAGGCACAGGACTAAAGTTTAAGTTCTTTAACTTGAATCGGTTTGGGGTGTGTCAATAGAACAAATAGACTATAGTTGACCAATATATTTTTGTTTGGTATTAGAGGATGAAAGCTGACAGCAGGTTGACTTTCAGAAGCACTGGCACAGGCATCAGAATTGTTTTACCTGGAGGTCAATTCAAACCCACAGCTCCTAATCCCTCGGAGAAGACAATCAAACTCGCTATCGATGAAGCTATTTCACTGCCATTGTTTAGGGTGGTTGACAGAATAACAGTAGTATTAATTTTGAAAACCATTGAATCAGCAGGGCTCCTTATTTTATCAAATATCAAGGAATTTATGTCAAACACAAAGTCCAATTGGAATATCTAGAGGATCATGAAAATTGTTAAAAGTAAAATATATCAGCTATGTTTGTTAGTAACAAGTATAATTATTGTTTACTATATTTATTAACTCTGTATCATATCTCAAAATCTGATATCATTGTTTCAGATAAATCATTATGAGTATTTAACTGGTCAGTTTCGTGGAACAAGGTGAGTTCGTTAATAATGAAATATATTTGACTGGTATCGTTGTGGAGTTTTTCGTTGAGCACGAAACTTAACAGAGTATTTCCTCTGTTAAGACAGTCGCATGGACACTTCAAGATGGCGGGATCATGTTTCTACCTTGAGAGAACACAGTAGAGTATTCGACTGGTATATGTTCTGTTGAGCATGTTTTACTACTGAGTCGCTTTTAACATACTCAACGCAATCTACCAGTTTAATACCTCTATAAATCACTAGCCAGGAATAACTGAGAAATACAGCCATATGAACATTTTGTTCTCATTTTAACCCTACTAGATAGTTTTCAAATAAAAAAGGGTTTGGAGGGGAAACGATAAAGAATAACCAACAACAAACTTGAAAAATGGTGTGTCAAACAAAACTATCAAATATAACTAGGTGCATCTCAACTTTAAACAAAGCGAAACTATCTTGGCTTAAGAAGGCTCAAAATTAAACACTATTAGCTTAGCTAAACAATTCGAAAATGGCGAAAAATTTTCTAAAAATTCACTGTTGAATCACAATTTCAACCATTAATTTAAATATTCATGCACAGTGTGGATTGTTAATTTAAGATTTGTAAATTGCCTCATTCATTTCCCTAAGTAAAAGCCTTATAAAGGAAAGGGTTGGTTAAGACAAGATAGTTTCAGTGATTTACTCACAAAATAAGGGTCAACAATAATATCTTCTTCCTCACTATCATACGTTCCCAACATTTCTATTTTAGCTGTTGAATTCTTCGGTTTTACTCCCTCTAAATCTCTATAAAACATGAAATGGTTAAAATTTTAGCTATTGAATTCTTCAATTTTACTCCCTCTAAATCTCTATAAAACACGAAATGGTTAAAATTTTAGCTATTGAATTCTTCAATTTCACTCCCTCTAAATCTCTACAAACAACGAAATGGTTAAAATTTTAGCTGTTGAAGTCTTCGGTTTCACTCCCTCTAAATCTCTACAAGCAACGAAATTGTTAAAATTTTAACTGTTGAATTCTTTGGTTTCACTCACTCTATAAAAAAAAGCGATGGCCATCGTGATACGCCTACAGTTGTAATATTAGCCAAGTGGTCCGGGAGGTTGACTAGAGATATCAGTAAATGACACATTCCGAGAGAAACATTTTCATATTATATTAGCCAAGTGGTTGACTAGAGATATTCAGCTTTATTCACACGCTTTTTATTGTATTTTTTAATTTTCTATTGGGTTCATCATTAGGTGATAATAAACTATTTCACCGCTAGATCTTTTTGGTCTGCCCTAAAAACATTATTGACTAGCAGCCAGTGCCAGTGAATGGAGTCAGAATGGAGTCTGAACTATCATTCCCGATAGAGCTTTCAGATGAGTTAGTAACGACAGATTAAATCAAGTCTCCTTATTTTTCTCCATGACCTAGGCCCGTGCGTTTCTATTCTTATATTACACTAAAGATGCGAATAAATGATGAATGGTGTCCAGTACAGTGTATGGTGCTAGATTATTGATACAGTAAAAAATAGTAGAAACAAAACATGTCCCAACTTGTAAGTTGTGTGTTCACTTCTATTTTTGTTTATATTGATCATCCCACACCAGACATCATCTATCATCTTCTCCCACCCTAACACAACAGTTAAACTAAATTTAATAGCACATTGAAATACATATATATAGTTGTAACTCCATGACCTAGGCTAATGTTTTTCTATTCTTATATTACACTAACACTGCAGTGTTTATGAATATTCAACATCAAAATTTCAAAAAGAAAAAAAACTTACTCCATGTTCTCATCATCCATTCCAAAAATAGTTTCAAATTTTACAAAATCATCTTTCTTAATCTGAAAATACAAAAAAATTCCCCAAAATTTTGAAAATAAGAAGGGCTGAGATAAAAAAAAAAGGGTCCAAGTGCTATTTGTGAAATTCTTCAGATTTCACTTTAGAGTAATTGCCCTTGAAATTCTGTGTGGAAACTTTAATTATTGAAGTACCAGGTCATTAGTAACTACATGTTACTGTGAAAGTAACTATGGTAATTTAAATATTAACTAAAGGCAGCCATCTTGAATTTCTATGCTTTGGTCTTTTATTTCAAATACTATAATTGTTACATCTGCACAACTCTCATAAAATATAGGTACCCAGAAAGACAATTACCCTATAAAATATAGGTACCCAGAAAGACAATTACCCTATAAAATATAGGTACCCAGAAAGACAATTACCCTATAAAATATAGGTACCCAGAAAGACAATTACCCTATAAAATATAGGTACTCAGAAAGACAATTACCCTATAAAATATAGGTACTCAGAAAGACAATTACCCTATAAAATATAGGTACCCAGAAAGACAATTACCCTATAAAATATAGATACCCAAAAAGACAATTACCCTATAGAATATAGATACCCAAAAAGACAATTACCCTATAAAATATAGGTACCCAGAAAGACAATTACCCTATAAAATACCTCAAGAATATATAAACCTGTGAAGGTATGTGAATAAAATAACTATGATGAAACAGAATAAGTAGCAAGAATACCTAATCAGTCAGAAAGATTGAAATAAATCTGCTTACTATTTCAAAGACTAGGACAAAGTAAAGTTTTTGACTGGATAGGTGATAAAACTCACTGACAACTCACTAAGCTGACCAATGAAGAAGGTGACAAGGTCCAGTGAGGTCAGTTCAGTTAAGAAACTAAGAGAGGGTCATAATTAGACCAATAGTAATAGGTCAGTGTAAAGTAATTAAAGTGATACTACGTCTAAGAATGAACATAAAAATTAATTCTCAAGAATGGTCAATATGAGTATATATTCATCAGTTAGCTCACCTGGTGTCAAAGTTACAACTGAATCCCTGTAAAATCTGGAAAATTGGAAAATTCATAAAACTAAGTAATTATTGAAAAACGCTTAATCTTGATATTAAGCGTTTTTCAATAGTTAAATGCATATTTATGAATAATTACTAAGTTTTTTGGAATCTATCGGATTATATAAGGATTCTGTTATGTTATTTATAACACCAGGTATATCTACTGATGAATATATGCTCTTATTGGCAAAGTTTAAAATTCAAAATTTTATGTTCATTCTAAGACATAGTATCCCTTTAACTAAGTATGTGGTTATTTTAACAGTAGTGTTAAGACACCAATAAAGGGGATTGTAAAGAGTTTTTTTAAAAATTTTATGTGTATTGAGGACACTGATATCATCAATTTACGCCATTCTAATTTACAATCAGACTGTCTGGTTCCTGCAATTCCACTAAAGTTCGTTTTTTTTTTGCTTGTATCACAGACCATTTGCAATTAGTGATGTCATAAAACGTCTGATTGAAAATTGGAATGGTACAAATTTATGCTATCAGTGTCTCTGATACACATAAAGAATTTAGAAAACCTCTTTACAATCTTTTTAAATATCAAAATCAAGTTTCTATAAAAAAAAAATACATGATGTGATGACTATAGAAGCTACATCATGCTTTACAACTGACCTGTCTAGCTTTATGTGTATAGCCTGTGATACCATGTTTCTTCAGCGTTGATATGGCACGTCCGTCAGGGCCGTTACCAATATTATACGTTTCTATGGCAGCACTATCTACTGACCACTGGAATATAAAGGTAAACAATTTTCATATTTTGTGTGGGTCATATCTTTTTCTTTAACAATTTACACCAATTAGTTCTGTTACCGTTCCACGATAAATCTTAAGATGAGAATTAGTCGACAATGTTGTCCCCAAAAATGAAACTAGAAATATTAAAATGTGAATATATGTATATTTTTAACAATGCAATGGTATTCCTGTAGCATCAGTAAACTTACATCATTGATTTTTCTTCTGTGAAGAATTTAATTGAAAAAAAAAAAAAAACTTTTTACTTTGTTTAAACAATAAGCTTATGTATATTCATATTTAAACAATATTTATTCAAGGATTACAAATATTACAATATACATATATATAAACATATGGTGTTGGAAACAAGCTTTAAAGCTTATATAAATCCATTACCAAGCTTATGTATATGTTTGACAATCAAAAATGTTTGATTTGGTTTTCTAGTTAGTCACGAATGCAGTGCCAGTGGTTTCCCTGCATTTCAACTTCAACGTGTGATTTCATAATAAAACATGATCTCAAAGAAGGTACAAAACTGTCAGATGACAGAAGTAATTGTTTCAATTCTTACCTTGTCTTTCAAACCCTTCTCTTGTAGTAAATGGAGAAATATTGCTTCAGCCATCGTTGAACGACAAATGTTGCCTGGAATAAAAATTCAGTGACGTTACTAATCTAGTCAAGTAATTTCAAAATCTGGCAGTCTGGCACTATAATAACTTGTAATGTACTATGTTTTCACCAAATGAACACTGGCCACAGTTAGTGCTTTCTGAAATTTTCTCATGTTTACAAATTTCTATACTTTCACTTTTAGTCTCGATTGTCAGCAATGCTTTTTAATGTTGACTTTTTAACATAAATAGGGAAAGTCTTGATATTCGAGACTAAAATGATAACGGAAAACAAGACCCAAATTCTCACGCCATTGAATAATGATCAAAAACCCTAAAATTATTTCATTATAAATAGTAAGTAAAACTACACAAAAACAGTAGAGCGTATGAGAATTCATGTGTTATACTCAAACTAACCGAGGCAAACAAATAAAACCGATTTTTTGTCACTGGGCGCAGCCATCTTGTCTTCCCACAATGCAGTGTGATCAACAAGCGGAAATGAATGATTTATCAGGAAAATGGAATTTGGTGAAATTTCGTGATTGAATGTCGAACGGTAAGTTCTTTTTTTCCAACGGTTTAGGAAACTGTGATCACTTCTAGCACAAATTGGGGTCCCTTCCTGACACATCTGAATTATTTCCTAATCCATAGCAACTTAGCAAGACCTTCGGGAAGCCAGGAAAAGTGTAGACGAGTTTGTTGATAAAATTTTGGGAAAAGTGTAATTTGATATGGAAAGGTGTTGACTGTTTAGAGATCAATATCGTCTGTTCCTCACATGAAATGACCGTGAATGGTAACAGTTTTTGTTATTGCTAGAGGTTCCATAGTGTGTAGTGGAATGCATTACAAATTTATGTTCCATTTTTGTCTTTGAGTTTAAATTTGAAGACTTCTTTTAATAATAATACAACTAGCCTACTAAAAATAGTTATGTCATCTATTCATAGGTGATAGTGATAGGTGATTGGACTTCTAAAAATTATAAAACCATCAAAAATTGGCTAAGTTTGACTTGGACACAAAGTTGGGGCAAATACAACAGAAGGCCTAAAGTGTATAGGGCTGCATAGTAAGTGTACGGTCCAAAGGGGGTGTTTGAGGGGGGGGCTTGTTTGCCCTAAATTTTACAACAATTTTTACCTGTATTTTTCTTCGTTTTTGCCCGATATTTTTTCTGTTGCTGCTGAAAAAGATAATATTTGGGGAGACAGCTTCCTGTCTCCTTCACCTGTCCTATGAAGGGCTGAACATTGACTTTAACAAAATGTTCTCATCTAATAGGTTGACCAAAAATAAGCTATTTGAAAGCCCAAGGCCATGTTGAAGGTGAATTTTAAGAAGGTTTAACGACGATTACAAAAGATTAAAAGAAAGGATCAGTTGTTGATTAACTGTTCTCAGTGTTTCTACTAGTTAAAGGGATTGTAAAGTTGTTTTCTTAATTTTGTATGTGTATCAGGGACATTGAAAAAATGAATATTTGCACCGTTCCAATTTTCAATCGGATTTCTATGATTCTAACAATTCCACTGAAACTATGTGTTTTATGATGTCACTATTGAAATGGTCCTTATATCACATATCAATAGCTACATTTGCGATAGTGACTCAGTGAAGTCATAAAACTTTTTATTTTAGTGGAACTTCAGGAGCCACAGACGTTTGACTGATTGGAATTGGAATGGTGTAAATTGAAAATATTAGTGTCCCCAAATACACATAAAATGTCTAGGAAATCTTCTACAATCCCTTTAAGAAAGGATAAACCAAGTTATGAAATATTTACAGGCTGATAGTCACTGTGGCTGAACGAAAACAATCAACAATAACTAGTTATTTATATATTACCAATCATGCATGAAACTACCTCAATTTTTACCTACCTATATACAGACATTCTTATTAGTTTTATTGTTGGAGATCCATTTTGATGGAGGAATTTTTACGAATTTGATACTGACATTTTTAGCAATTTCATCTACATCTTTTTTATGATAATCTTACAGTTTCTAAGAATAAGTTTAGGTATATTTTAATTTTTTTTCTTTATGTGTAAATTGATAGGTTTATAATATTAAATAGACAGTTTGGAATATTTTGTAAGTCTTATCTGCAGGTGCCTGTGCCAAGTTCCTCAAAATATCTTTCGAAGAGAATTTGTCCCAAGAGTGGAATTTTACATTGAGAAATTCCATGTGGTACTTACGAAAAGATTCCTTGTATGACTTTTGATATAACAGAGATCATGTTCCATATTTTCTCAAGTTTGAACAATACCCAAAAATTGATGACATATTTATTATTTTTCAGGTATTATACTCTACACTTTCTACTAGAAATTTTAATTGGAGCCATGATAATTCAATTCAGTTCTAAGAATCAGGAATAATCTTTGGAATTCACTGTGGATTAAAAACATGGCTTCAGGCAAGCCAGTACCAGCACCCAGAGGGAGTACAAGGAATGCCCCACCCCCTGCTAGACGTTACCCTCAAGGTCCCCCACCCCCTGTGCCCATTGCTGGGGGAGGAAGTGTGTCAGGAATGGGTTACGGGGTTCAGCCTCAAGAGAAACCGGCGCCGCCAATTGATGCTCGAGCGAAGACAGTATTAAAGGAAGCTGTGGATGCTGTAGTGAATAGTTTTGCTAAACATACACATGGCTATGGACGAGGTGAGATCATTTTTATAGCTCTAGTGTTTTCTATCTTAACTAAGAGAGATGGTCAAGAAGGTACATTGTTGTAGGAAGTGACCTAAAATGAAACTAGAGGAGTTTCTTGTAGATCCTGATTTGCTCATTTCTTGTAATATGTAACAACTGCGATTTTTGTGGAAAATTAAAATATAAACCATACAATGTTCTTCTGGATCTAATTATTTATTTCTTATAAATATATATTAACAAACAAGTACGATTTAGTGGAAATATGGAAGATGAACCACTAGTCTTTTCTTAGTCAATCTTTATATCCTTTGCTAGTTCAAAAACTGATGACAAATTTCAGATCTGAGTCAGCCTGTCAACAAACAGATCAATACTCTGTTGAAGTATGATATTCACCAGTATTGCCTTCAATACTCCTCTCAACACTGCTCTAATTTAATTTATCATACACACTTGTTCATTTGACAAATTCTCACCACAAATCAATAGTCTTTACCAGTACTATTCAATTTTTCTGTGCTTTAAATTTCATTTACCATCAGAAATTGTAAGCAAAATGTTTATTTGTGTCACCCTCTTTCCCCCTTTGAAATAAAAGACTCATATTTATTAAATAGTTAATGAGACATGCTACAAACTTGATTGGAATATTAATCAATCAGTTTTTGATTTGATTCAGAAATTAAATTAGCTTGAATATTAATTAGGTCCTGAACAATGTTCACTTAGAGAAAGATCGTTAGACAAGGGACTTAATTAGATTTATTAATTAAATCAAGGTCTTAATTTAATCGACCAAATCATGTAATTATTCTTGTAAAAATTGACTATAAAACCAAATTTCCCCATAAAATTCATAACTTCTTTGAAAACTAAGAAACCTGATATAAGTGAAATGTTTAATGTAAAATTTAGTGTTTAAGTTTGAAAAATGAAAATGAGAAAGCTTCGCCATAGACGAGAAATTATAATTGACTTTTGTCATCCATTTAAGATAAAATACAATTCGAGTAAGTTCAACCAAATTTCTCAAAAATCATATGTTAGGTTGACAAATTCAATTGCAGAGTGACATCAGGCATGAATCGTTGATTCTAGTGATGTGTATTGACTGCAAATGTTAAAGAAATTGTGTAGTGTCTTGTACTCTGTTTGAGTATCAGCAAATATTTATTTGGGAAGGGAGGGGGTAGGGGGGGGGGGGAGGTCATTGGGCCATGGACCCCCTCTCAGGCCTGTGATAGGTTTTATTCTGAATTGAAAACTAAACCCTCTAAATGCTCAGAATTTATCTTAGGCTATCTGAAACCCGTTGGCTTCTGTGGGCCTATACCAGCCCCCAGACCCATGACTCAATGGGCTTCAGCCCTTTGGCCTCATCTCTGAGACACCTACTGTCTTTATTAGCCCACTTGGTGCAGAAAAGTAGGACGTAAAACTCCATTCATTTCATTTTCATTTCTGAGAGACCCCTCTCATTCTGGGAACAAAAGTTCCACTGGAACCAAAGAATTCCATGGTCCTAATGGCAGCTATGAATATCCCTGATACACATGCAAAAACTAGAAAAAAAACTCTTTACAATCTCTTTAAAGCAATTGGTCTATTTATTTGTTAAACATTCTAAGATGACTAGTTAATGGCAAACCATCAATAATGTTGATTTGTCAAATAGTAGACCTGTGGTCAGTGACAAACAAAAATGTGGAAATTTGGGTCTTGGCAACTTGTAGACTGTGACTCATGTTTAGACAGCGTTTAGGTTGACTATACAGTATATAAGCTTATTGGTAGCTTTGGATGTCAGTTTCAATCAATCACTGAAACCTTTAATTTTTATCCCGTATTTTTAAAAAGATTTATGACATATCTTCACACAGTGTTTTTGATATTGTCACTTTTATTTTTTCCAAATTTAATATCTTCCCAAAGTATTACAGAAACTATTACAAACTTCATCTTATACCTTCACCACAATAGCCACCTTTTTTTGTATCATGGAATGCAGCGATTTTATTGGATTAGGCCAGCCAATCAGAGCCCTCAGCAGAAAGACTAAACATTATGGCTTTGTTTTTACGGACTTTCTGTCTGTCGAGGCATCTGATTGGCTGTATATGCTTAAATACAATCAAATCAAATCGCTGAATTTCGAAACTTCGTAAACACTCTAGAAGGTGCAACAAAGATTTTGCTATCACCCAAGGATGAACCCTATTGAAAATCAACACATAATTTGTAATTATTTTAGTCAATGTGGTGGAAGCATTACAAGAGTTCTGGCAGATGAAACTAGAACGTGGAGCTGATTTAAAGAATGGTGCCCTAGTAGCGTATGAATCCCTACCCTCCACTACCCCACCCTATGTTTGTTTTGTAACTTTACCAGGAGGAAGTTGTTTTGGTAGTTTTCAGGTAGGAACATTCATTTAAATATTTAAATTTCTTCACCTTCCAACAACCAGGCAAATAGTTCTAGTTGTGGATCTGGGTAACAGAAATAGTAAGATATTTTTTTTATTGATGTTATTTCACATACCGACTGTTCAACAGAACCCATGACCACCATTTGTTTGACATAACCAAGGAATTGTCTTCATGTAAAGTTTTCAAATCGACGACTAACTGACAAGAAACTAAAGACTGAACTTATAATCTGAGAATATATTAGATTTGATTTTGACCCAGATTTTAGTGTAGATCTAATAATTTTTCATGACATTATTGAATTAAATGATATCTGTATTGCCTTAATAATACATTTAAAGATGTAAATTTTACCAGAGGTGTAAATCTATCAAATGACATTATCTCAAATAACATCCAGATTATATCTCACTATTACATCTAGACCTAGTTTCAAACTTATACACACCCTCATAATGCTCTGTGTTAAATAACATCGATTCATATTGGCCCTCTATGTATTGAATACGCCCTCTATGTATTGAATACACCCTGTGTTTAGTGCAGATTTTATAATCTACACCCTTTATATTGCAAGTATTTCCTTATAAAGACCTAATATCCCTCTTTGCCCAGATAAAGTTTGCTAATTCATACCCTGATATGTTGGATTTTATCAGATAATATTCTCTTATATTGGCCCCGAGTATATCAGTATTTGCCCTGTATTATGATAGATTATCATTATATATCATAATATACCTGATAGTTGACAGCCCATTTAACAATATTGACTGAGATATATGACATCATTATCTATTCAAAGGACTTTAAATAACCTAATTGATCTAACATACCATTATACCAGTCCTTATCATTTAAAGGGACAGATTCGCCATCTGTTAAACTGTAAAATTGTCTGTAAAATGTGTGTACCTGTGTTTTCTCTGTAAAATGTGTGTACCTGTATTCTCTCTGTAAAATGTGTGTACCTGTATTTTCTCTGTAAAATGTTCTCTGTAAAATGTGTGTACCTGTATTCTCTCTGTAAAATGTGTGTTCCTGTCTGTAAAATGTGTGTACCTGTGTTTTGTCTGTAAAATGTGTGTACCTGTATTTTGTCTGTAAAATGTGTGTACCTGTGCTTTGTCTGTAAAATGTGTGTACCTGTGTTTTGTCTGTAAAATGTGTGTACCTGTGTTTTGTCTGTAAAATGTGTGTACCTGTATTATTCTGTAAAATGTGTGTACCTGTATTTTCTCTGTAAAATGTGTGTACCTGTATTTTCTCTGTAAAATGTGTGTACCTGTATTGTCTCTGTAAAATGTGTGTACCTGTGTTTTGTCTGTAAATGTGTGTACCTGTGTTTTCTCTGTAAAATGTGTGTACCTGTGTTTTGTCTGTAAAATTGTAAAGCTATTAGTAATGAAGTCAACAGACTAACAAGACTACAATAATCTCTCTGTCTACATTTCTCTTGGTTTTTAATCTTTTACACTCACACCTTACTTCTAGATACATAATAAACACAAATAGTAGAAACTTATAGCTTGTAGCCTGACAAAATATGGGCCTATCAGACCTCATACACAGATGGGATATCAGTTTGATGAGAGCCAGACATAAAATTTATAATTTTAATGAAAGATTGCTGGTTATTTTCTTCATGACAAAAGCTGTGTGTACTCTGTCTGGTAATAGGTTATAAACTGTTTGGTCTTTGTGGACGATATCTGTAATAATTTATAAACCTAGAGAAATATTTGACAATAAAACTCAGTAATTTATATAAACTAGAGTATTTACTACGGTTGACTGAACTATATCAATCTACTGTATTTCTTTATATTACTCATTATCAAAATATGACTAATTATCAAAATATTACTCATTATCAAAATATGACTAATTATCAAAATATTACTCATTATCAAAATATTACACATTATCAAAATATTACTCATTATCAAAATATTACTCATTATCAAAATATTACTCATTATCAAAATATTACTCATTATCAAAATATTACTCATTATCAAAATATTACTCATTATCAAAATATTACTCATTACTCATTATCAAAATATTACTCATTACTCATTATCAAAATATTACTCATTACTCATTATCAAAATATTACTCATTATCAAAATATTACTCTTAAGATATATATTCATCATTATTTATAGCACAATCAGTTAGAGGGTTGGTTCAGTACATGACATCATTTGATTGGTTACGTCCAGCAAATAGTGGCTGTGGGATCTAATCTCAACCGAAAGTCGTTTTCTTAAGATGTATTCATCATATTATCTTCAGCACAATCAGTTAGAGGGTTGGTTCTGTACATGACATCAGCTGCTTGGTTACGTCGAGCAAATGGCGGCTGTGGGTTCCGATCTTGATCGGCGTGTGAAAGTCTGATGACCTTTGAACAAGCTATCTTCACTCATTATTCCAGTCGACCCAGCTGTAAATGGGTACAGATAATCTGGGAAAGATCAATACCAAGAGATTTGGTGATAGATCAGCTGGTAAAAAGAACCCTTAACTGTTGTTATCTTTATAAAATATAATTATATTTTCTTTTTATCATGTTGTTTGTATTTTATATTTTAGAATTGTAATACGAAGGCTGAAGCTAGAAGAAGCGCTGCTAAAATAGCTTTAATGAATTCAGTATTTAACGAACATCCATCAAGAAAAATTACTGATGAATTTGTTGAGAAAGCTATAAGAGATGCCCAGGGATCGTTTAATGTAAGTTTTAACTTTACTTTCTTTTTTTTTGTTGATAAAAACAACTCACTACCCACTGATGTAAATCATTCACATTGCCAATAACTGCAACATTTAAAGATGGGTTCCCTTATTTTCATTTATGAAAATCAAAATGCTAATACTTATATGAATAGAAAGTGGAGGTGTTCTAATGACTTGGAAAAATACCAGTTTGTCTCACATGTCCATAATTATGTTAAATTAGAAGAGAATTACCACCAGAATTCCAATGAGTGACCGATCAAGAAAGGTCAATAATTCTTTTTTTGTTTATCCAGACGGTACATACATGGACATTTATGATTGGTTAAAAATCTTAATGATATGCAATAAGAACATAATGATATGATTAAGAATACATGATAGTTCATTAGAAACATTGATTAGTGAAATAGTTTGCTATATTTGATACTAAGAAATAAGGAAACCCATCTTTAATTATTTATTCTGTATATATATTACAGTGTTACTGTGGTACTCTGTTATAATTATCGCATCATTATCCCCAAAAATTTCAAAATTACTAACGCGCATTTATTAGATTTTATATCCGATGTTTGTCCTGATATACGATAATAGGATAACAGTTTATTGCTTAAATAATAATCTATATCTTTACTTAGAGAGTCCTTTGATATATATTTATATATGATTTATTCTGTTTCTATTACAGGGCGGTATCGAAGATCATGACAATCCTGGTACTGGAATCGGAGCCTTTAAATTTATGTTGGAAGCCAACAAGGGAAGGACAATGTTAGAGTTTCAGGAACTAATGACTGTATTCCAGTTGTTACATTGGAACGGAAGTCTGAAAGCCATGAGAGATAGAAATTGTTCACGTCAAGAAGTATTAGCTCACTATTCACACCGAGCTCTTGATGATGATATGAGATCACAGATGGCGCTTGATTGGATCGCGCGTGAACAGGAACATCCCCATATAATATCGCGTGAATTACAAATAGCAGAACAGGAACTAGAAACTGCGAGACTATCTGGACGAGAGTTACGTGTCTATAAAGAAAAACGTGATATTTTAGTGCTAAGCTTAAGTCAGATTGCTCCAGCAGAAAGTCTCGCTTAAATTTGTAAAATCAATAACTTCAAGTCATTGATTACTGAAGAACAGTTGAACAAGTGAACAAGTTTTGGACTGAAAACATTAGATCAGCCAAAATATGATCAATAACTTCTAGAAAATGTGACTTAAAAGTGTAAATAAACCATTACAACAGAACAACTAAAGTTGTAAAGTTGTGCTTAGTTTAAAAATGAAACCAAATTGTTATATATATATATATATATGTGTGTGAATTTTCTTCAAATGCAATACAAAATACTACAGCAAATTGCAAAGGAATTCAATAGAAATTCTTGAAATAACAAGAAAGAATCATAAAGTTGTGTTTTAAAAGAAATCAACCAGACCCTTTTTCACAAAATTTTAAGATTTGAATTTATCATTGAGTGTAGTAAAAATCTCTACAAACAAAAGAATTTCAATTACCAAAAATATTTTTATGTTTTCCTTGTAAAAAATAAAATACAGTGGAGCCGCGTTTATCTGGTTGCCGATAATCCAGAAACCCTGATATCAGCACGTTTTTTACTGGGAACGTGAATATTTATTTTGTAAAATTAACCGTTAATCCAACAAATTCTGTACAACAAATTCTGTACAACAAATTCTGTACAACAAATTTTGATTTTCAGTTTTTGTGAAACTGTGACCCATTGTTGTATTAAACTAGAAAGTGCTGAAATATGTTGTATGTTTCACTAAGACTATTATTCTATGGTATAATGGATCCTTGTTATTTAGGCTAGTGATTTAATTTGCAAGGAAAGTGATTGTAAAGAGGTTTTCTATATTTTTTATGGGTATTGGGGACACTGATAGCATCAATTTACATCATTCCAATTTTCAATCAGACGTCTGTGGTTCCTGTAATTCAACTAAAACTAAGTGTTTTATGATGTCATTATGATGTGATACAAGCAAATTTTGTTGGGGGTAACATCATAAAACACCAGACATCTGATTGAAAATTAGAATGGTGTAAATTGATGCTATCAATGTCCCTGATATACATACAGAATATAGAAAACTTCTTTACAATCCCCTTAAGATTTTAAAAATGTTTTTCAGTGAAATATTAAAATTTATTACCAAATAGAACTCTTCCATAAAAGATGGGATAGAAACTTAAAATTTGTTAGTGTGAATTTTATACACGTTTACTGTTTTCAAAATAGGGTGGGGAAAAGACAATGATTACACTTTCTAGATTCAGAGTAAAAATCAAGTTAGTCTAAAGAGACAGATGCGCCATTTTTTGACCAATCATACTTTAGTCTCAGAAACCGGAAATTTTAAGCTAGGCCATTCAGTTATAGTGTTCACAGCTCACCATCGAAATTTTAGTCTTCAAATTCATGGGTGTCCAGAATTATCTGCATTTGAAAGTTAAAATGACGACTCTTCATTTTAAGATAATCTGTGATATAAAGAAAAGACATATTGAAATGGTGTAAAATTTCTAGTTTGAAGTATGTTTTGAAGGAATTATGCGATTTTCTTACATTTTTAGTACTTCTGAAGACTATTTATATATATTCAAGGCTAAAATAAACCCCCCCAAAATGGCACACCTGTCCCTTTAAACGTACCATATCAGTTTACCTTAGAAATGTGATGAAAATATGGAAGATGTTCTCATTGAGTTCTACCTGGTAATAAATTATGATATTTCTATGGTATTTTTAATATAATAATGATAATAATAATAATGATATTAATAACAAGTAGAGTCTAATTAGCTGCTGTCAGAATCATTCTACGAGTTATAGAAATATAAAGAAAGGAAAAGACACTAACTATTTTTAAGATAGATGATAGCAAAGTTTGGATACGTTGCCTGTAGGGCTGCAACGATGACTCAATGGACCGCAATTCTTTCCTTCTTATTGATGCATTATTGATGTATCGGCAAAATTAATTATTAGCCCCCTTTATAATAAATGACACAGAATCCTTGTGTTTATAAGAAATTGTGTCATGTTTTCCAAGTATGATTTTCATATCAAAATTTGCAAAAATTTATTTCTGACTTTAAAAATTGAGATTTTTTTCACAATTCCTTACTTCTAAATATTCTCAAGTGTTTAATAGTGACAAACTTGTTAGTAATTTTACACATTTCTACTATTTTACCTCTTTCCTTCTCTAATAAATGAATCGTGATAATTATAGCAATAAATCGTATCATTGGATGAGTATCGTATAGTGTATTGAATTGTAACTTCAAGAAACGTTGCAGCCCTACTGGCAAGCTATCTTTAGATAGATAATAAGAAAGTTATGGTAAATGTTTATACCAGATTAACATATATATCTGTTTGACTGTAGTACCGTACCTTCTTCATAATTTCAAGCCTCTGATTGGCTGTATTCACTAGTGTACAATCCAATCAAATTACTGCATTTAAAAAGTTTTTGTCATACCATAAAATGCCTGATGATGTCAAGTGATATTGTGAAGAAATTGTGGTACAGGATTAGTGAGTTGACAGCAGCTTAATTTAGACTCTTCTAATTAACAAAGTATTCTTTATTAACCAATCACATTTCACTATTTTATGTCTTCCAATTATTCTCATTTTTCATTGGTCAATATAACTTCATGAATATTCATTCTTAATTATAGCAATTTTTAAAGCTTTATTAGAATTTTTATATTTCATTTTATCTTTACGATCTTTTTTGCATTTAAACATTTTTTTTTAGCAAATTTTAAAATCTTGCACTATAATGTTATATTTGCTTATTTTGTGTATTGGTATGTTTTAAGTTGATATTTTTGCATATCTGGGACATGGGATGGAGGGAGGGGTTGTATTAACATCAACATAAACAGACTATTATATTTTTATAAGAATTGGAATAGCAGCCTGGAAATAGTACTGTTAAGGTGTGAAATAACTGATATCGGGTGTGGTCTGTACAATGAGAGATTATCCATCCAGTCAGTAGAAATAGTACTGTTAAGGTGTGAAATAACTGTCGGGTGTGGTCTGTACAATGAGAGATTATCCATCCAGTCAGTAGAAATAGTACTGTTAAGGTGTGAAATAACTGATATCGGGTGTGGTCTGTACAATGAGAGATTATCCATCCAGTCAGTAGAAATAGTACAAGCAAATCGTAATAATAAATCGAAAATAAAGAAAAAATTCAAAAAACTTTTCACTTCGCTCAGACAATAGTTAATAATTTTTTTTTTGTTTTTTCAACTTTTTCTACAAATAAATAGACTGTTAATGTTAATGTTTGAAATTGTACAGGAATATATATTATTATTCTAGTAAGCTGAGAATTGTGGTGAAGCTAAGACTATGTATACCAATATTGTCTTTATTTAAAGTATGACTTTCTCTGTTGGAATTTCTTGAAGGTTCAGAAATAAAACTTCGGACCATTTTTCTATATGATTCTTAATCAAAGTATGAAAATGTCTTCTTCTTAGGTGATGAATAATTAGATATAAATATTTTTATTGAAATATGATTGACAAACCCTAAAACTTCTTACATTTTTAGATTCTGAAGATTTTCACTTCATGTTTTGAAATTATATTATTCAAACTAACTGCACAAACAATACTCTCTGACTAGAGGTAACGCCTACATGCCTGTGCCTGTGCTTATCTAAAATTTCTAAAACTCATGGTTATCTTTTTACTTTTTTCTTGTCTTTTCTAGTCACCTTTTCAATATTTCTATTAAAAAATCCAATTTTTCATGTGGAATGAAGGCTGATATGATAGTTGTCTTGATCTCATAATCTGGTAATCACAGTTAGCATGTTAAATATTTCTGTTTAATTACTGTTTTTTTAACTTCCTGATTCCCTGTTTTTTTGGACTCGTTGGTCTATTATAGTTTTGAACCCCTTATTGTACAAAATTTAACTGAAATAAAATCCAGATTTTAAAAATTACAGTAATCCGATTGGATAATAAAACTTAATTTTAAGTCAATTTTAGTGATTGTCCAATCAGATGATTGGAATACTAAAATTATCTTAAGTTTTCAAGAATAAGGTCCCTGGTTTTTTATCTACTGGGCCATTTTACAGTGTTGTCATGTTTTGGTACCTTCACATGAATTGTTTAGACTAGCAACTGAGTAGTTTGTCAAATATACCACTTCTCTCTCCCCAGATGTGATCTCGGCACGTTCAGCGACATACATAAAATGTCATTTTTTATGAGAGTTTCTCTGTTCCAATATCACAACTGTATAACCTATTCAGTAGGGTCAGATTTGATATATCTTATTATCAGTTTAAATACATATCTTACTGATGTTTTATTTCCAAACACCTGTAGTCCTGAACGACCAGCCTCTAATATTTAAATTACCAGAATCACATGACGATATTGACAATATGTCTGTCATACAATGCGTGATGCGTTGCAGAGTGCCAGCGTAACTTTCACGGAGACCAATGGGTGTAATTCTATCTGTATGGTCCTATATTAAATGTATGTATAATTTGTTAATTATTGTTTTGTTAAAGCTTTTTGTATTTTATTATTCAAACTTATTTAATGTTGTCATTCTAGAGAGTTTCTAGGGTTTCTGTCATTTTCTTGGTGTTTAATCTCGAACAGTTTCAGATTTACATTTAGAAACACCTAATATTTGATTATATTAGGATGTTCAGAGTCTCGGCATCAAAACTACTACTAAATATACCTATTAAAGAGATTGTCAAGAGGTTTTCTAAAATATATTATGTGGATTAGTGACACTGATAGCTTCAATTTTATGTGTATCGAGGACACCGATAGCTTCAATTTGCATCATTCCAATTTTCAATCAGACGTCTGTTGTTCTTGTAATTCCACTACAACTAAATGTTTGATGACGTCACTAATTGCAAAAAATGTTTTATCACATGAGGCCCTTTTCGATAAGTGCCAAGTTTTAAAGGAATTTCAAGACTCATACAAAATATTTAGAAAACCTCTTTATAATCATTTAAGTCTTCAAGTTTTCTAAAGCTGATAAAGAAGAGAAATGTCTGAGGAAACTGATGGGTGAGAAAATGACAGAAGATCTAAGTATATTATATTATTATTGTAGAGTTTAAAGTATTTTCTATTTTCTAGCATGACCAGCATAATAATAATATAAACTGTGACTGTGACAATAAAAACTATTATAAAATTACTTTCTGGCTTTTATTCATAATCCTTAGAGTGACCCTCACATCATAGAGATTACTAGTTGTGTATGATTGAAAATAAGAATAGTAGACATAAACACAACTCTTATGTAACTGAGTTGTGAGTTGTACTCTCTTGTAACTGAGTTGTACTCTCTTGTAACTGAGTTGTACTCTCTTGTAACTGAGTTGTGAGTTGTACTCTCATGTAACTGAGTCGTGAGTTGTACTCTCATGTAACTGTGTTGTGAGTTGTACTCTCTTGTAACTGAGTTGTGAGTTGTACTCTCGTGTAACTGAGTTGTGAGTTGTACTCTCATGTAACTGAGTTGTGAGTTGTACTCTCATGTAACTGAGTCGTGAGTTGTACTCTCTTGTAACTGAGTCGTGAGTTGTACTCTCATGTAACTGAGTTGTGAGTTGTACTCTCGTGTAACTGAGTTGTGAGTTGTACTCTCATGTAACTGAGTTGTGAGTTGTACTCTCTTGTAACTGAGTTGTGAGTTGTACTCTCATGTAACTGAGTTGTGAGTTGTACTCTCATGTAACTGAGTTGTGAGTTGTACTCTCATGTAACTGAGTTGTGAGTTGTACTCTCTTGTAACTGAGTTGTGAGTTGTACTCTCATGTAACTGAGTCGTGAGTTGTACTCTCATGTAACTGTGTTGTGAGTTGTACTCTCATGTAACTGAGTTGTGAGTTGTACTCTCATGTAACTGAGTTGTGAGTTGTACTCTCATGTAACTGAGTTGTGAGTTGTACTCTCATGTAACTGAGTTGTGAGTTGTACTCTCATGTAACTGAGTTATGAGTTGAACTCTCATGTAACTGAGTTGTGAGTTGTACTCTCATGTAACTGAGTTGTGAGTTGTACTCTCTTGTAACTGAGTTGTGAGTTGTGATGGTATTCATGGCCACTTTCATTATTTACAACTAGTAATAACTATGGTGTGAGGCCATCTTTATCTCATGGCAAGGAATTTTACAAGGAAAACAATTTTGATTCCATTCCCTATTTGAATCCCCCTCAAGGTAAAAACAATTGTGATGCCTATGCCAGTGCTTCTGAGAGTCCGCCCATGTCGACTTTCGCCCTCTATAACTAGCATAAGGATCTGGCCCCTGTTTCTCAAAGAAATTGATTGTAGGGTTTTTTTTAGAAACCGGGCCTGGTATAATAATAATATACTAACTGAAGACATAACAGTTTTATTTACAATTGACAAACATATAATCATCCAAGCCAGGATATTTAAACTTTTATACACCTAGGAGTTCATCAACATTATACTCAAACCTGTCTGATACAAAACTTAAACCTGACCAGTCTACTTTATATTCAGGGTAGAATAAATAGAAATTGAAACTTAACAAGCCAGACATATTCTGTCCATTGCTACTTATACTACCTTTAACTGAAGTGGACTAGTCATGTTTATGGTTTGAATTAGACCTGGATCTGTACAGCTCAGGTTTCTTAATAATCCCCAAGAGGTGTGCAAAATATCTGGAAGTGGAATAGCGAGTTGGATTGTCGTCTGCTAGGAAGTTACGTGTCCTGGGTTCAAATCTTCCTCAAAGTAAGAAGAATTCTGATGGCTGCGCCAGTGCTTTACTGACTCGGCTTTCACCCACTGACACCATAGCGATTCCAAGTTGTGTATGGTTGAGAATAATGAATGTGGTCCCGAGATTCGAACGTAACTCACAACTCAGTTACATGAGAGTACAACGTTACGTTCGTAACTTATGACTGCTATATTTATTCGTAACCACTCAACTGATGATCGCTATGATGTGAGGCCAACTTTATCTAGATTATAATCATTAACAACATAAATATACAACAATAAATATTGAACGATGAATTAATTAGGTTTAATCAGGTACCAGGGACTGTATGGGCCATTTCAATATACCAGTAACGTAACAGTTGGATCATATTAATAAAAATGTTCATGGTTAAGAAGTGGGAAGATGGAGAAAAGCTTAACTCTTTTTTATTGAATTCATCAGATCTTGAAAATCTGTCGTCAATATGATACTAATTGCTTTCAATATTCCAACATTATCTCCCTTTTATACTCTATTTATAATACTTCAATCATATTCTATCCATTAAAATTCATTTACTCAAAGGAATCCTGTTTTCCACAGATAAAACAAAGATTATAAGTTCAGTACAGTAAACGTAACCATATGATTTTTGTGTGTTCAGTTGTCTTTAACCATATTCCATGTATGAAAATTCACCCACTGTTGAAAGATTATAAGCTTACAATTAGCTTAGTTAGACTAATAAACAGAATAGTGGAATTTGAAACAGTCTGAAACTCACTCTAGCCTCTGACACTTCAAACAAGTCAAACTACCATCATCCCAACATTCAAGGTTGTAGTGTTGGGTGTGAAAGAAGATATTCTTCTATAGAAGCACTGGCCAAGGTCACAAGACTTCATTTACATCGATTATCAATTTGAGTAATAAAGATTAAATTGAACTGGTACTATAATAAATATTCTGCGCTGTGTAAAAAGAGAAATCACAACAATGTAAATTCTGAAAGACTGAAATAATACAATGCTTACAGATGATCTAAATAATTGTACAGTCTGATAGATAACCATCAACTTAAAACCCCAGAACCCACAAAATGTAGATAGTTTTTCTGACAAAGTTGGTTAACAACTGTCAAAAATAAATATCAGAGGCCAGGTTTGACTCAAGAAGTCTGTAGATAGCTGAGTTTATAGATAGATCAGTTATAAATCTGAAGATAGCACAGCGTGAAACTCGTGAGTAAAGTTGAGAATAGATGAGGTAGGATGTCCCTGTGAGATTAATGATATAGTAGAAAGTAGAAGAAACGAATCATATCCACATCGTCTCCAGACCTGTACCTCGTGTGTTCACTTTTTCTATTTTCTACTGTATCGGTCATTCTATAACGGACATCGCCCTGGACACCGTACCTCTACGTCTATTCGCGGCTTTACAACATGTTTCAGGTTCTGTTTTAATATTAATTAATTATATTGGAATTCGATGCTAATATCCTCAACCTTCTTGACCAAGTCGTGCTAACTGTTTTAAAAATTGTGAAGCATTGACTAAATCACTACATCCGTACCAGATCTTTTTCGGCGAGGTCATTGACTTACTCTTGGCATAGTCCACTAAATTTTGGTATTCTATATAGTTCCCTCCCCCTACCACAAACACAAATGCTTCTTGAAATGGTGACTTATTTCTGGGCACTGAAGAACTATCTGCTCGTAAAAGTTTTGGATCGAAATAACGATAATCTTCAACGTCTTGGTATGATTTTAAATCCATTAAAGCATCAACAATACGCGTTGTTGGCAAATTATGTCTTTTAACAACCAAATTTTTCACTCCTTCCATCACAAATTGTGAACCTTTGGAAACTAAATTAGCGAACATTCCAGTGGAGGAAATTCCTCCACCGCCATATTGACTCGGTGCTGCTGTCATCTTAGCGTAAGCTTTCCATCGGCGGACATATTGAATTGGTGTGATGTCACATCCTGCTTCAGTTAGCGCCACACAATATTGGTCGATCTCTGCCTCTGACATATGTGGTCCACAAATTAATCCAATAATAAATAAACGAACTTTGTCGTCTGGTGTTCCAGCTTCAGGATCAGAAATCAACTCCATTAAAGTTTTATCCTGAACCGATTTACTCATCAATTTTTCTTCACATTCAAAATAAATGTCTAATTTCCGTGTTTTGACTTGTTCAAGAAGAGCTGTAGCAATATTGGTGTGCATGTCAATCAACCGCTTCTTTTCTAGTAACTCTGGTAATGAGTTCACAGCAGACGTCAGTTTAGCAGTGTTGTCTGACAACATACTTATTGCTGAGTCATCTTCAGCGCCCTCTATACCCATCGCAGCTTTCAAACTCTTTACTTTGTCTTCTTGAGTTCTATATGCATCCAATTCTTCCTGTACAGCTTCAGCTACCGTTGGAAACGGACTTCCTTTCTGTATCAACCAAAATTTATCGCTATGGCTGAGGTCATAACTTTTCTTCTTTTTCATTGGTCGAGGACTGCCAGCAGGCGTGGCTACATTACTGGATTCTTCAATTTCTACTCTGTTCTGTTTTAAATCCAGAACATCATGGGCCAAGGCTTGGTACGTCCATGTATGATGTAACATGGTTGCCAAATCTAAATTTCTGTCTAACAACACCAACAATGGACGTTGAAAGCTGAACTGTCCTGGAGAGGAATCCGCTGTAAAAAGACTGTTTCTTGCATCTCGGACATTTTCTCTCAACTTCTTGTCAAGTTTTTCGGCCACCATTTCTGCTGCATTACCTCTTGCTGAACGAATTATTGGAACCACGCCAAGCGTGACAAAAACCGAAAACAAACTGTCAACAATGACATCCATGATAACTTCCATTTCAGTGTCCTTGACATCGCCACGATTTAAAGCATAATATGAGATAGCTTCACGATCTTGATGTCTTAGAGTAAACAAGTCATCTTCGAGCGAAATGAAGTTCAGGTATTGATCATAGATTTTTGAAACTTGTGAAACACAGTTGTATTGAATGGAAGCACTGGCAAGGTCTTCTAATCGCTGTCTGGAAATCGCAGAAATGAAATTCAAGTAGTAACTTTCGTACAACTGATTTTCAAAATCTCGGCAAATTCTTTGAACATTGTCGTCTGTCGGCATCACGAAATAAATGACAGGCACATCAGGAATGGAATCTCGATCAGAATGTAAATTCAAATGAAGTGTCACTCCAAGATCTCGTAGTTCCTTCACTGTTAACAATGGCGAGATGATATCCTGTCCAAAACGATCGTAAACCAAAATTTTCCATTGTGGTTCATTTGATGTAGCTTTAGTTATCGGGGCATTGAAGTTTAACATTCGTTTTAAAGCCGTCGCTTGTTTTTCTCTCAAAGTGGCTGCCATCTTGGAGAAAGTACAAGTAGAGACACCTAAACGTGGCACTTCCGGTAAAATTTCTATCAGTTTGTGGTTAAAGGGAAATAACTCTTTTTAATAATCAGTTAGTTTAGAATAAGACAACAATGGATTTTCTAATTTTTGTTTTTCAGCTATAAAAGATCTCTTTATTGCTAAGATAGATTAATGCTGGACAGGCACAGAATCTCAACATTTAGGGCCGTATGCTGCGCTCGAACTTAACGCTAAGTCAGACTTCGGGTAAAGTCAGACTTTGTAAAGTTTCGCCTGAGTTCGACTTAGTAACTAATTCATTTCGGTATGCATGGCTTCAACTTAAACGATACCTCAAAGAATTATAATTTAATTTCGAATATATTTGTTATTAGAAAAAGTGATTGATACATATTTTAACTAAAATTTTGATCGGACACTTAGGCCTACGGACAGCAAGAATCTGGCATGTTTCTCATGTGCTTTTCCGTGGGGTCTTTACTATAAATACGCATCAGGGTCATTTACAAATCATGATTTGATTGATTGTTCAAGATATCAGATAATTACTGTAATTGAACAGGAATTCCTTATCGATGTAGTGAATGAGTTTAAGGGTGTATTGGAGTCGAAACAAAATGATATTCGGTCCATACAAAGGAAGGAAAAGGCGTGGAGAGAAATAGAAGCCCACTTTCTTTAAACGAGATCACAAGCAGTTAAAGAAATGCTGGAATAATTTGAAAATGAAGGCAAACAAATCTGTAGCGATTGAAAAAAGAGAGAATGAAAACTGGTGGTGGTAGAGTGGAGACAATGGATTCTAGTAATTCAAATCAGAAGATATGTGCTATGATACCGTCACAAATGCACCCTTTGCAGAATGATTTTGATAACGATGTGGATTTCCATCAAGATAGCTTCACTTTGGCTCAACCGATGTCTGATTAAACATAATTTGAATTTCTCAAATCCGCAAATCTAATTTCAATAAAAAGTAGATATTAATATGTCTCTTCGAGTTTGACAAGTGCTGTGGACATTTCGAAAGAAGATAAATTACGAGACTGATTCCACGTCTTCGAAATAAGTTGCATATGCACGATTCGAACTGTTACGTAGCACCTTACTTTAAACAATCCCTTCTGCATTGGTACTGAATTTTTCAATTCCAGCGGAACATTGTGTCCAGATACAAATACAGTTCCAACACAGAAATCATCACGTGTTCCATGTGTACAGTCAATTGTTCCAATTATTCCTGAAAACTGCGTAATATCGTAAAAACCTCGTTGTATTGTTTTTATTTCATTTTCATCTGGAAACGTAATTACCTCGGGCCTATGAATAGCTACAGCCCTTGATACCAATTTCACTATTCGGGAGACACTGGATTGATGAACGCCCATTATGTCCCCCACGTTTATTTGGAAAGAACCACTAGTATACCAACAAAGACATACCAATAACTGTACTAATGGTGGGATATGTACAGTTTGGTCACATCGATGATTGAACTCATTTCAAAAATATGCAGAACGCCATCCTTCGGAAATCTGAAGCGTTTCGTGAATTCACTCTCGTCTAGATCTTCCATTGGATTTGAGCGGTCCGTGAATCTCCTCTCCACATGGTAAATATCTATAATTTGGTGTAATTGGTTGAAATAATCTTCCATTGTCACAATTTCAATCGCAAACGTATATAAAGTACGGCTAAAGTCTGCTACCACCCTATCTTAGACTTTACTTTAGTTTTGTCCACAAAATGCTCGAGTAAAGCATGACTTACATCAAAGATCGAGCGCAGCATACCTAAAGTCTGACTTAAGCTTGACTTTGAGTAATGTATTAATGCACAACTTGAGGGGGGGGAACAAAAGAGATGTCAGTAGTTCCTGTAATTATAGAAATGCATTAGCCTATCTGATGTCAATATCGCAAATCTGCTACCAATCTATCAGCAGCTTTTAAAATAGTGACGTCTTCAAACACTGTTTTCATAGAATTGCGTTAACCCTAGACATCACTATTGCTAAAGGCCTTATCCAAATTTACGATCAGTAACGTCATCAAACACTTAGTTTTAGTGAAATTACAGGAACCACAGACGTCTGATTGAAAATTGGAATGTAATTCATGCTATCACTGTCCCAGTACACATACAGAATTAAGAAATCCTCTTTACAATCACTTTAATAGTATAATACTAGATAGGGCCCTACATAACAAACTAAAACTGTTAAAAACATCAATAAAACAACAAAATTAAGTTTCATCATCATCTTCATTTTCCCTGACTCTGATATTTCTCTGTTTAGTTTTCCTACGTTTAAAACTTGTACTCTCAGAGTTATTGTCCTTGATTTCTTCAGTAACGTCACTTGATACCGATATATCTAAATCTTGATCAACTTCAGAAACTTTAACAAAGCTCTTTTCAGTTGATTTTGAAATTTTCGAGTTCATGTCTAATCCAACCTTTTCTGTGGGTTTTGAAATTTTCGAGTTCATGTCTAATCCAACCTTTTCTGTGGGTTTTGAAGTTTTAGAGTCAATGTCCCATTCCACCTTTTTATTTTGCTTTTTAAAGGTGAATGCCCCTTTAGAACAAGCAGTTTCTGTAAAATCAACTTTGGCTTCCTCCTCGTCAGAGCCTCTTTCTCGTTGCTCGCGTAATTTCTTTCGTTCATCAAGAAAATCAAACGCTGCTCGCGAATTGGAAGCGTCAGACATATCATTTGAAGAAACATCACCCAGACTGTAACAAGTGTATTTCTCTGGATGTTTTCTGTATTCTGGAATAACAGGTTTTTTATATTTTCTATGAGATGGTGGTCTGTTATACGGTTTACGGAAGCCATCTTGCTTTCTGTCATCTTTTCGAAAATCGCTACTCCTTTCAAGATTTCCTTTCCGTATTTCCACATCTTCTAAAGGATCATTTTTCCACAAAGTTTCTTCATCTCTGTCCCCTAGTGATTTCTTTCTTGCCGTTTCAACAGCAGAATGTTTATCTTCCAAAGTTTGTAACACGCCGAAAATATCTTTACTTTTAGATTTAAAATCGTTCCCAGCAGCTTCTAGCTCAAAAACTGGAATTTTAGGTGTCGCCATTTTGAACCTGTTTCAACCTCAACTGAACAAGCCTAATTTTTAATTCTTCCTTCAGCCAACATCTGAAATGCAGATTTAAAGACATTAATTATTCACGTAGGTAACTGAAGAGATTTAGAAGTATCTGATTGGTTTAGATTCTCATGCCCGTAGCCAGACTTGATTGTTCGGAGGGAGAATGGTTTATAGTATTTGGTTGCAATAATGGAATTAGTCGGTTGGCAGAATTTCTTCGGGTGGCTACAGGCAGGTTGGGCCTGTACAGCCCTGTCGTTAGGCACCTCAAAAATGTCAGAAATGAGATCAATGGGCCTTTAATTCTTCAAATTTCCTGAGTACAAAATCTGAGCCCCAGTACCAATTCATTCCTGACGACGGGGCTGGGACTATATCGTATATACCAGTTCCCTTATCATATATATGGCCTTTACCCTTTTGTTAATTCCAAATTGAAAGGACCCGTTGTTTGACTTTGTAGCTGTGGCTTTGGACTTGAATGGTTGGCAATTTATAACACTGAGATATTCCACTGCCACATGCTTACAAGAACAATTCTGATGCCTATTATGCCTGTGCTTCCAAAAGTCGGCTTACTTGAATAGCCCATTTATTGTTGTTGATTTGTATTAACTTATTAAATGATGAATATCACCATATGGCTAGGGCTTGTTAAATATGAAATGGTCCTTTATATTTGATCGTTAAAACGTTTTCAATCAGAGAAATTATTTGTTGTCCGTGTCTTAGATTAGGTTGAATTGGTTTTGGAAGAAGTCCAGTAAACTTACATTTATTTTCATGTTTATAAAAGATGGATTTCACAGCATAAATTATCTACCTGATAATATTGCATTTACCAAAGTTAGAGAGTTCAGCATTTGTTCATGAAATGGAACCATTTCAGAAGATCTGCTAAGGTAACTTTGAAGATTAGTTAACGAGTTGTCTTTTCCTGTTTGTTCTTACCATTGTCGCAAATATTTGGAATAAATTTTTAATAATTAAATTCTAAAATTCAAAATTAATCTTTATAAATTAATTTTGCACTGATTACTTCATTGTAAAGTTGTCCTTATTCGCTTTCTTTTTCCTTTCCCACGAGGAAATTTTTACGACAACCATCGTCATAACTAGCGGAAGTACCTCTTTGTTCCCGGCGAAAATTTTATAAAGCAAGAAAATATAAGAATTTTGTGATTTTTTTAATCAAAATGAGTGGCGGGGTTTATGGAGGAGGTAATGTACAAACTGTCCATTCATTTTTAAATTTCTAACATTGTATTTTCTTTGCATAAATTTGATCTAACTAAAATTATGAACGCATCTTGGAATTGTTTTGTTGTACAGGCATGAGTTACGCCCCTTTATGTAAGGTGCTCCATAGAATAATTATTTTCAGACTACAATTAACTATGCTATATTCTGAAGAAGTCAAATTGACTATGATCAAACACTGCAACCTAATTATTAGATTTAACAATCAGATAACATAATTACATTTTCCAGATGAGGTTGGTGCTATCGTTTTTGATATTGGTTCCTATTCATTTCGTGCAGGGTATGCTGGAGAAGACACACCAAAGGTAAGAAGGAGTTGCATCTCAAAGAAGTACCGTACGGATTAAGCATTATTTGAATGTCTAATTAGTAATACGACCCAAATAACATTGCTCAACCGCAATATTACAACCTTAAATTCCAAATAAATGAGACAAAATGTAGACTAAGGCCATACACAATAAATAGTCTGTTTTACAGGCCCAAAAATGCCTGATTGTTGCCTTAATATTAAATGTACATTAAATTTGTGGTAATTGATAATAAATGCTTTCTCTCGGTCCGATTTATTCAAGTTGAAAATCTAAAAAAGGGCTCATTAATAATATATGTCAATATCAGTCGAATTAAAATAAGACCAAACTTTTGTTCCATTTTTTATGGGCTTTTATATTAAATATGGCCACTTCAGTGTCTAAAGATGGACCTCTTCAATTCAACATTCATCAAATAACCTTTTGACCTAACCTATTGACCCCTACTTTAACCAATCATATTTCTGCCCTCTCCAGCTCTGTGATTTTGTGAGAAAGTGAAGGAATTTGATTGGTAAGAATCAAGTTAGGTCAAAAGTTTGTTTTGAGAATGATCAAGAGGTTTATTTTTAGATCTTTATTAAAGTGGCTATAGTAAAAATAAAAAGTAATAAAAAACAAAATGAAAGTTTGGTCTAATTGTAATAAAACTGTGTCAATGTTATGTTTATTGTTATATGCTTATTAATTCTGTTCTACACATACTTATCATTATTCTGAAATGCTAAATTGAATGAGTGTTTTTTGTTTATCTACAGACTGAGATGCCTACCCATGTAGGAATAGTTGATGATATAGAAACAGCAATGGAAACAGAGGGGGGTGAGGTCAAACCCCCAGAACGTAAACACTATATGGATACTATTCATATTAAAGTCCCTAGAAAGAAGATGGATATGGTCAGTTTTTTGAAAGATGGAATGAGTGAGTATTACTTTTTAAATCTTAAACATCAGCGACAATTTTCTTCGCTACCCATGAAATATTTACTGGAATTTTAATATAATAATAATGTTCTATTCAGAAAAAAAGTTTGCTTTAAACCCATCTTTAATTATATACAATAAGAACATAATGATATGATTAAGAATACATGATAATTCATCAGAATCACCAATTAATCAAAAAGTTTGCCTAATTTGACACTAAAAAATAAGGAAACCCATCTTTAATTATATACAATAAGAACATAATGATATGATTAAGAATACATGATAATTCATTAGAAACACCAATTAAACTAATATTAAAGCCATCTTTAAAGCAGATGATATTTATTCTTGTAGTTGATAATTGGGATGTATTTGAGAAAGTAACAGAATATGTTTATGAAAGACATATAAGATCTGATTCTGAGTTACATCCAGTCATGATGTCTGAACCAGCTGTAAGTTTTTTATCTTCATTTATTTTGATCTATTTTTGTTTATCTTCATTTATTTTGATCTATTTTCATTTATTTTTTTTTATTTTTTTTATTTTTATTTATCTTTATTTATATATAAGCAAATACAGATATTTACTCAAGCTATATGGGTTATACTTTAAAGAGATTGTAAAGAGGTTTTTTAAACTTTAAATGTGTATAGTGGACACTGATAGCATCAATTTACACCATTCCAATTTTCAATCAGATGTCTGTGGTTCCTGTAATTCAACTAAAACTATGTGTTTTATGATGTCATTATCACCAAAGCTGCTTATATTATATAAGGCCTTTTGCAACATAAATTCTTTTCTTTTTTTTTTTTTTTCACTTTATTTGAAGAAGTTTATTTATTTTTATTAAAATTCTCGATATTTTCTTTCTGTGTATTTCAGTGGAACACGAAAGAAAAACGAGAAAAAATAACAGAAATAATGTTTGAAAAATATAACGTACCAGCTTTCTTCTTGTGTAAAAGTCCAGTTTTATCTGCGTATCCTTTTTAAACATTTCTATTCTGAATTTTAAACTTATTTTAATTTTATTTTCCCGTTACTCTTATCTTTCCACTCGTTTTTTATCTCTCTTTATCTATATTGTAGACTGCAAACATTCCTTGACAATTCAAAATGACTGAAATTGCCCTCATTGCATACTGCATGGTGTTGTTTTTTTTTCATTAGTCCATTAGTGCAAAAAAGCATGAAATTAAAATGAAATGAATAAAGTATTACGTCCTACCTTTCTGCACCATGTGGGCTAATGAAGACGACCAACGCCATGCAGGGTGCCATGAAGGAAATTTTGCTGGGACAGCAGCATTAGCCTGCTCTTTTTCGATTTCCAACTGTCGAGGTATCTTTAACATGCACAGACTGTAACACACGGGGCCTCAGTTTACCAACCAGGGTTGAACCCTGGAGCAGAAAAGCATGATGTGGAACTCCTTTCATTTGTTTTGTTAAGCTTTCACTCTTTGCATAAACTAAATAACCAAGTACTAATGACCAGAAATCCAAAACAACATATTGGCAAAACATTGGTAGCAGCTAATGAACTTTTCATTTTATATCAATAGTAAGTATTTCATAATAAAAAATAGTATCAGGTGTCTAGAAGAGAAAGCATACCCTATCTGACAAAAAACTGCCACATAAGGAAGTTTGTCAATCATAAAGTAAGTATTTTATAATGAAAAATGTTGTATGGTTTACCAATTTGAAACCTTAATGTATGGCTCAGATTCGCTAATGGTCGTGGTACAGCGTTAATATTAGATAGTGGAGCAACTCATACCTCTGCGGTACCAGTTTATGATGGTTATGTCTTACAGCATGGTATGTATCTATTTTTTTTGTTTTTGTGGGGCTTGAATGATTTTTAATAATAGTAAATGAAATGATAGTTTTCGGACAATGAGTATTATAATATAAGAGATAAAGATTGGCTGTGCTACCAGTTATCCCTGATTATCGTTTGTGTTTGAACTCTCAGACTCACCTTGCGGGGTTCTATTTATACTGTTCATGGGCCCTGGTGGAAGGTTACCAGGGTATGGGTTTTACCGGGGTTCGAGGGTTCGTAGGTATCAGGGTTACCGGGGTTGATCAGTACCGGGATTGGTTTGTTCCATTAAGTTAATGAGTATTATTACAGGAATAGTGAAGTCACCTCTAGCTGGAGATTTTGTAACAGTGGAATGTCGTAAATTGATGGAAGAATTAAATATTGAAGTCATTCCACCATATTTAATCGCTGGCAAGGTAAACATTTCAACTTGATTACAGTTAGTGGCGTATTTAGGGCGTGGTTCATTGGGTCATAGTCCTCCCCCTCAGGCCTGTGAATGGTCTTATTTGAAGTGATAACTACACCTTGTAAATGCTCATAATTCATGTCAGGCTATCTAAAATCTGTAGGGTGTTTTGCCTCTCCCACTCCAGACTGGTCTAGGAGAGTCACCTCTCATTTTTTTCTGATTTATAGATCACAACTTAATAATGATAAAAAAACTAATTTTCATAAAGTTTTGTCTATTAAACAAACACCTGTTTAAGACACAAAATGTTTTTTAGGTTGTGTAAATAATTTCTATACTGACGCGACTCAATGTGTGTTTGAAAATAAAAATAATTAATAAGGAGTTCACATCTGACTGATATCAGATTTAAATAACGGCACACTTGAAGGTTTTATGTTGATGTCTCCAACAGGAAGAAGTAAAAGAAAATGAACCTGCCAAATGGAAAAGAAAAGATGTCTGTGAGGTTACAAAATCATTCCATAATTATATGGTCAAGGTAAAGGAATTCCGTATTTTGATTTTTGAAGACCATAGTTTGCCATTTTAACATTTTAATTTGTATCTAGAATGAATAAACCTAATAGCTCTACTAGCAATCCGAACTGCCTAATGAAACTCATAATCCCAAAAACAAACTGGCAAAAATATTGGTAGAAAATATTGGTAGAATATATATTCAGTAGTACTAGAAGTCAAAGGTTTAGAGGCAGTTCCTAATTCAGCTTAGGCCCCTCCCACTTAGATACAGTTGTTAATCAGCACAAATAATCACATAAGTCATTAGAAATTAAATTTTACTTATGACACACGCTTTTTTTGTTCGTGGGTAAAACATGGCGGCTGATTTTAAGAGGATTGGTCAATATTCAGCTGTCTATCATTCTAGTAGTTTTAAGCCTATTACGTATTGCCCTCTATTATTTCAGGATGTCTTACAAGATTTTGCCGCGTCCGTTTTAAATGTTGCAGATCAACCTTATGATCAGGAGTAAGTCATAAATATTTCTTCAATTGAATCTTTTTAATCAATCACTTTTGCTGAAGAAATTCTTAATCTAACTTTGCCTACTGAGTGTAGATCATTAAATTTCTATAATCCTGTTATTATTTACAGATCAGTAGATTCCATGCCATTATTTCACTATGATTTCCCTAATGGATATAATTGTGATTTTGGTTCGGAGAGATTCCGAGTGTGTGAAGGACTGTTTGATCCTTCTATTATTAAGGTAAGAATACGATATAACTAGTGATATAAGTAAGATATGTTCGTCTTTCCTGCAGTGACCTTAATGGTCATAAATTTCTTAGACACGTTAGTGATAATCCTGCGTGCTCTTTTGGTCATCAATATGAAGATGCAGAACACTTCTTTTGCACTGTCCCTTACATTCAGATGCACGAGACAGATCTATAAACATCTTACCAACTGGCTTTAAAAACATAACCAATCTGCTTAATGGTGTACAAAATGACCCTGATCAATCTATACTCATTTTCAAAAAAATTCACGATTTTCTTCTTATGTCATAACGTTTTTAAAATTTGAATTATTCTGTTTTATATCTTCGAGTATCTACCATGGATGTAGCGATGTCTGTATATACGTTACTTATTTTAACGATATTGTATTGTATATATGAACATTTTATATTAGAAGAGGAGTTTTATAGGTGAAAGCCTGTTCCCAATCCTTTTCATATTTATATGAATAAAATATTGTTTAAAAAGGAAAAGATATGTTATTATAACTGATATGGAAGTGTGGCTTATGGATACCATAATTTATCCCATGACAATATCATATGATATATGAAAAATAAAAATTTGAACTGTGATGTATTCTAGATAAAAAACAATGTTTTCTTTGTTTTGTTCTGATAAAAATAATATTCTTGTATACCATAGAATGTTCAGCCTGTTGAATAAATATAGTATTTAACAGGCGGTATTCGTTGAGCGGGGCCAAAGGCTGACATTGTTTAACGCATGCACTTTATTCGTTGATGACGTCTGATAGGTCTGTTTTTAACTGAATCACCAGATATATAAGTGTTAATTTGTTTTGTAGGATATACCTGGGAATACAATGTTAGGAGCTGGACATGTTGTAACAACTAGTGTAGGGATGTGTGATATAGATTGTAGACCAGTAAGTTATATTAGTATTTTATATTTATATATGGTCTGTCTTTCTCTGATAACTCGGGAAACTCAGTGAGTTCGAAGCTTGCTGACTAGGTCCAGTGTTCAATTCCAACATAAGCTGAGGTAAGGCTTTGAATGTTTCTACCCAGTTTCCCCCTGTCAGTCGTAGGGGCTGACAGATAGAATATTATCTATGTATCCATTCATTATTCATCCATTCATAATTTATTCATTCATTATGTATCCATTCATTATGTATCCATTCATTATTCATCCATTCATAATTTATTCATTCATTATGTATCCATTCATTATGTATCTATTCATTATGTATCTATTCATTATTTTTCCATTCATTATGTATCTATTTATTATGTATCTATTCATTATGTATCTATTCATTATGTATCTATTCATTATGTATCTATTCATTATGTATCAATTCATTATGTATCTATTCATTATGTATCTATTCATTATGTATCCGTTCATTATGTATCTATTCATTATGTATCTATTCATTATGTATCTATTCATTATGTATCTATTTGTATTCTAGAGTTTATATGGTAGTGTCATAGTATCGGGAGGGAATACATTACTAGGAGGTTTTACAGAGAGATTAAACAGAGATCTTAGTGCTAAAACACCACCTGTAAGTTAATTTATATTACTCTTAAAGGGACAGGTGCGCCATTTTGGAGGGTTGATTTAAATCTTGAATATATATAAATAGTTTTCAGAAGTACTAGAAATGTACGAAAAAAGCATAATTCCTTTAAAAATACTTCAAACTAGGAATTTCACTCACTATTTCTATATAAGTATTTTCTATATATAACAGAGTATCTTAAAATGATGAGTTGTCATTTTAACATTCAAACACAAATAATTCTGGACACACATGGATTTGAAGGCTCAAATTTCGACAATGAGTTTTGAACACTGTTACTGATTGGCTTACGGAAGAACTTCCTGTTTCTGAGTATGATTTGTTAAAAGGGCAACCTGTCCCTTTTAAAGGCATGGAAAGCAGCTTGTAAGTTGGATTGGACAATAAACCGAAACCCTGTGTGAGATACTTAAAAATCTTTTAGGCTCCTTCATGCAGTAATTCATTCATTCATTCAACCATCCATTCATTCATTCATTCATTCATTCATTCAACCATCCATTCATTCATTCATTCATTCATTCAACCATCCATTCATTCATTCATTCATTCAACCATCCATTCATTCATTCATTCAACCATCCATTCATTCATTCATTCATTCATTCATTCACCCATTCATTCATTCATTAATGCATTCATTAATCCATTCATTCATTCATCTATTCATTCATTCATTAATCCATCCATTCATTCTGTATATTTGTAGTCTATGAGGTTGAAGATTATAGCAGCTACTAGTACGGCTGAGAGAAGATTTAGTGCTTGGATTGGTGGCTCTATCTTAGCCTCTTTGGTAAATATATACATTTAGAAAGATTTTGAGAAGAGATCACATCAAATAATGAAGCTATTGTCACCTTGGCATTGATTGGATGATATTGACATCCCATAATACCCTAGTTTTGCGTAGATTATAACAGTACGTGTGGTGATAATTTATTCATCCCACAGTTAATTATTCAATCGTTAAGACAAAGCTGACCTTCAGTATTGTTTTCTTTGTACCTGGGCTGCTATGGGCTTGACTTTTACCTCCGTGATGATGATTGGACCGAAACATTTGCCTCTATTTCAGTCTTTGATAACTATTTTGACAGGTTTGTCAGTTGGTGTAGAAGATGAAATGAATGGAGTTTTACGTCCTACTTTTCTGCAGGAATCAGGGGAGATGTGAAAAGTCTCCATAAAACAGGCTCTATTTTTCTGACTCTGCTCCAGTTGATAAATGTCAAAATATCTATCAGAGGTTGGATTAGAAGCAGATATTTTGGACTAGATGATGATATTGTATTGTTATATTTCAGGGGGCGTTCCAACAGATGTGGATCTCAAAACAGGAATATGATGAGGGGGGTAAGGGTTGTGTAGAGAGAAAATGTCCCTAGAAATTTCAACATTATGATGTGTATAAATCTGAAGACTTAAAATACTGAGGGACAATATTACTGCAAAAAATCGAATTGATAATGGATCATCTTGTTTTGGCAACTGTTTTCAGGGTTTTGGATATTAAGTTCATCACCAGGACAGCTTGAAATTATGTGATTTTCAGGGATGTCAAATGACTCCAGTACATTTTAAATTATAGCCAGTCATAACGACTTCTTAATAAACATTTAAGAGTCTAGGGCCAGACATACCTGGCAAATATAACCAAATCAAAAACCCTTAATAAAAGTTATATCCTAGAGTCAGCGTTTGATCGTTTTGGAAACATCATTGGCAATTTGATCAAAAACCTTATTGAAATCTACAAAAAATCTCAAGTAAGAGCTTTTGTCTTGCATTCTTAGATGACTGGCAAATATATCAAATCAGAAGTCCGATCCAACCAATGCCAGTCCTGGCTGGCATAATTTTCAATTCAGCAGCCCTGTCTGATCTGCATTTGGACCAATAACCCAAATTAAGAGACCTGTGTTCAGTCATGAGCAAATACAGCATAAACAATAACCCTGATTTGACCCAATTTGGTAAATGAAGAAAAATCCACAGGGTTAATGCAGACTGCATATTCTCAGAACTTTTTTTATTTTTCTCATCTGTATATAGGCTACTTTTTTACATTCTGCATTAAAATCATCATCATTACCATCATTATCATCATCATCATCATCATCATTACCATCATCATCATAACTATCATCATCATTATCATCATCATCATCATTATCATCATCATCATTATCATTTGTCATCAAAAATGGATACTATTTGACAAGCAACAAAATCACCCCTAATTTTATGAATAAGCTGTTCCAATCATACATATCCAATTGAAAGGATGTAAGTGTGGACGAGTTCATTTAGAAATTTGAGGGGTGTTAGATATATTTACTGAAACACTACATCCAGCCTTCATCATCATTCGTCATCATCATCATCATCATTCGTCATCATCATCATCATCATCATTTGTATTGTAATATTATCTCTGTTGTAGTGATGAAAATAAAAGATATAATTCTATAAAGCATTAGTTCAGTTGGCCGAGTAAGATCCACAGATTTCTTAAGTGAGTTCACAGTCAATTCTAGAAAAAAAAAATGAAAAGAAATTCGCTAGCGTACAATCCTTGATAATGGAGATATTGTAGTCAAGGTATGAGACGAAGTATCGTAATAGCTTGACATTGTGAAGATGACCGAACAATTAAAAATCCGTACAAACAAGACAATCCGTTAATCAAAATCTCCAAAAAGTCCAAAGTATGGCAAAATCAGGAGTAAAAGTAGTATAGTAGTGGACTCCTCAAAAGAGAAGTACCATCAGGTGTTTAGAAAATAGTAAGAATGGTCCGCATTGGTGAAAATGATGAGATACAACCAGATGAATTTAAGAATTATGTATTATGTAATATACTAGGACAGAATAGATATACAAACATTATAAAGTGTAATCGGTGTAAAGCCACGAATAGACGAGGTACGGTGTGGGGTATGGTGTAATTGATTCAGTAGAAAATAGAAGAAGTGAATACACGAGGTACAGGTGCGGACATGATTCCTTTCTTCTATTTTCTACTGTATCAATAATCTCACACCGTACCAGTGGCAGCCTCAGTGGGGTCCCAACTCCCTCCAGAAAAAGTGGTTTGCACCCCCACTTTATTTTCAACAAATCTAAATGTCAATCTTTTTTCTCCAAAATATGTGTTCTTGAGAGAACTCTCTAAGACAATCTATGAGAGGCTTGTGACTATGATACCACCACAGAGTAGCCAAAATTTGAATTCAGCCTGAGCAGTTGTCCCCCCATTCAGTCACTCTACCCTCTATTTATTCCTCTCGTTTATTCCCAACTTAATAGTGATTAGGGCGTCGAACATTCTTCAGAAGAAGTGCTTAACTAGAGCTGTACGAAAATCCATTCAAATATACCTCAACTTAGAATTTCACCTTTTATTTTCTGATTAGCTTAGGTAGGAGGCCGAGAGTTGTCTGAAAACGATTGGTCAAAAAACAAGATGACATAAATGTTGGAAAGGCAATACTCAAATACAATCCGTTGGCTTTTAGGGTCCATTTGAGCCTCGCCTAAAAAAGAAACACCATAATTTTTGGCCCATCCCTCAAGCATGCCCCTGAAAAAGCACTCTGATGAAGACTTGTTTTAGTCGTTTAATCTCTTCTCAAAGCAGATATATCTTACACTTAAAGGGAAAGTAGCGCCTTTCTTTTTGACCAATCAAACTTTAGTCTCATAAACAGGAAGTTCTTAGCTAAGCCAATCAGTAATAGTGTTCACAGCTCACCATCGACATTTGAGCCTTTTGAAGACTATTTACAAATTTCCAAGGCTCAAATAAATCCCCCCCCCCCAAAAAAAAATGGCGCCACTGTCCCTTTAAACTCTTCTTGAGATTCTTAATAGCGTTTTCTCCGTAAATGATATTGATATCAGATCTTTGTGTGAGAAGTACTTTAATAACGAATAAAATCAGTGTTCAATTACAGACGTTCCACTGTTTAAAGTCGTTATAGAAACTCCTTAAAGATCACGTGATGTCTTCATACTAGTCTAGGAACCATAACACAGACATTTTTCATAATATTAAACGACCCTTCCAGAAAGGAACTCGTCAAAACAAAATTGTAGCAGAATTTGAAACCCAAGAATTGTATGAATTGGATTCGGAAATCAAATCATTGGATTGAACATTACATGATTAACCAATCACATCTCTATGTTATCTCAAAATTAGACCTACGGTATTTCTGATAAACGGAGCTAGAGATATAACAAAAATGGCGGCTCTGTACTGCCCAAATTCACGTTAAGCAAGGGGATATGTTGAAATCATTATCTATTGGTAAAAAAAAAAGGAACTCGATAGCCTATTGTACAATAATTCCTCGACCAATCAGCAATAGTTTAACAATAAATACAAATAACCAGGAGATGGGACCTATAGTTTAGTAGAACGTTAACTTGTCATCTACCTACCTAGTTTAATAGATTTTAGTCGGATATCAGATATTTCTGAATGAATTTATAACACGATGGATGGAAAACGAGGTACGTATAGGTTTAAGTTTAGCTACTTTTTTTAAGAGACGATACTCAATAAATAATATAAATGAATGGAGTTTTACGTCCTACTTTTCTGTACCATGTGGGCTAATGAAGACGTGCAACGCCATGCAAGGTGCAATGAACGGGAATTTTGCCAGGACAGCAGCATTAGCCTGCAGAAAATACTGCAGAAAGAATATACAATTAAAGAAAGGAGTTTTACGTCCCCGTTATTGAGCTAATGAAGACAGGCAACCTAGTGTAGTGAGGGAAATTTTTGTCAGAACAGCGGTATGAGTCTACTCTTTTTTTATTTCCAACTGTGGAGGGATCTTTAAACGTTCACAGCCTGTAGCATACGGAGCCTCCGTGTATTTTCCCATTCGAATAACTATATAAACACCTTTTTCACGTCAGCTCCTCCCACTTACATCATCTGAACCACCGCGAAATAAAGAATACAGGGTAGGTTTTCAACCACAGTAACGTGTAATGTGAGAACATTATAGGATACAGGCTGTAAACATTAAAGATCCCTTCACCACCGTCATCATCATCATCATCATCATCATCATCATCATCATCATCGTCCTCATCATCATCATCGTCCTCATCATCATCATCGTCCTCATCATCATCATCACTGACCCGTAGCTGCAGGTGAGGACGGGGGAAAAATTCTAACAATCGACCAATTCCATTACTGCAAAAAAGTCCCTCAAGTGGCTACGGACCTGCATCATCATCATCATCATTGACTTATTTTGTGAAAAAAATAACCAGCGAATTTGTTATTATTATAAGAGTATTATTAATTTTAGTACAACGTGTATTTCTGTTAGGTCCATATGCACCAGAGTATAGTGAAGGGTCTTTAAATTATGGTCAGTCTTACCCGCCATCGTACGATAATTCATCCTATACATACCAGGACAAGCAGGCTAAACCAATAACCACAGAGCCTCATGACAGGGAAATAGGACCTCGTCGTCCACCCATAGCCAATAATTACAGATATGATCATGGTTCCAACAGCCAATACACCGGACACGGTCAATATACAACATCTGATCAAATAATAACGGTAAATTTTATTGCATTTTTAATCATTTGTCTTGTAAATCTCTCCAGAATTAAGTAATTTCTTATCAAATTGGTGTATTTTAATGTTGAAATTTATAGTCTTTACTTGTGACCTTGGCCTGCGCTTCTATAAGAGAGTATCTTGTATAACACCTAATACTAGTGACCTTGGCCAGTGTTTCTATAGAAGAATATCTTCTATAACACCTAATACTTGTGACTCACCAGTGTTTCTATAGGAGAGTATCTTCTATAACACCTAATACTTGTGTCCTAGACCAGTGTTTCTTTAGGAGAGTATCTTCTATAACACCTAATACTTGTGACCTAGACCAGTGTTTCTATAGGAGAGTAACTTCTATAACTCCTAATACTTGTGACCTAGACCAGTGTTTCTTTAGGAGAGTATCTTCTATAACTCCTAATACTTGTGACCTAGACCAGTGTTTCTATAGAAGAGTATCTTCTATAACTCCTAATAATTGTGACCTAGACCAGTGTTTCTGTAGGAGAGTATCTTCTATAACTCCTAATACTTGTGACCTAGACCAGTGTTTCTATAGGATAGTATCTTCTATAACACCTAATACTAGTGACCTAGACCAGTGTTTCTATAGGATAGTATCTTCTATAACACCTAATACTTGTGACCTAGACCAGTGTTTCTATAGGAGAGTATCTTCTATAACTCCTAATACTTGTGACCTAGACCAGTGTTTCTATAGGAGAGTATCTTCTATAACTCCTAATACTTGTGACCTAGACCAGTGTTTCTATAGGAGAGTATCTTCTATAACTCCTAATACTTGTGACCTAGACCAGTGTTTCTATAGGAGAGTATCTTCTATAACACCTAATACTTGCGACCTAGACCAGTGTTTCTATAGGAGAGTATCTTCTATAACTCCTAATACTTGTGACCTAGACCAGTGTTTCTATAGGAGAGTATCTTCTATAACTCCTAATACTTGTGACCTAGACCAGTGTTTCTATAGGAGAGTATCTTCTATAACACCTAATACTTGTGACCTAGACCAGTGTTTCTATAGGAGAGTATCTTCTATAACTCCTAATACTTGTTACCTAGACCAGTGTTTCTATAGGAGAGTATCTTCTATAACACCTAATACTTGTGACCTAGACCAGTGTTTCTTTAGGAGAGTATCTTCTATAACTCCTAATACTTGTGACCTAGACCAGTGTTTCTGTAGGAGAGTATCTTCTATAACACCTAATACTTGTGACCTAGACCAGTGTTTCTATAGGAGAGTATCTTCTATAACACCTAATACTTGTGACCTAGACCAGTGTTTCTATAGGAGAGTAACTTCTATAACTCCTAATACTTGTGACCTAGACCAGTGTTTCTATAGGAGAGTATCTTCTATAACACCTAATACTTGTGACCTAGACCAGTGTTTCTATAGAATAGTATCTTCTATAACACCTAATAATTGTGACCTAGACCAGTGTTTCTGTAGGAGAGTATCTTCTATAACTCCTAATACTTGTAACCTAGACCAGTGTTTCTATAGGATAGTATCTTCTATAACACCTAATACTAGTGACCTAGACCAGTGTTTCTATAGGATAGTATCTTCTATAACACCTAATAATTGTGACCTAGACCAGTGTTTCTGTAGGAGAGTATCTTCTATAACTCCTAATACTTGTGACCTAGACCAGTGTTTCTATAGGAGAGTATCTTCTATAACACCTAATACTTGTGACCTAGACCAGTGTTTCTATAGGAGAGTATCTTCTATAACTCCTAATACTTGTGACCTAGACCAGTGTTTCTATAGGAGAGTATCTTCTATAACACCTAATACTTGTGACCTAGACCAGTGTTTCTATAGGAGAGTATCTTCTATAACATCTAATACTTGTGACCTAGACCAGTGTTTCTTTTTTCAGCTTAACCAACCAGCCGTGACAGATAGGGTACCAAGTTATTTAGGTCTTGCTATATTTGTGACATTATTTTGCTGCTGGCCGCTTGGTTTAATGGCTATAACAAAGCATAACGAGGTAGGATTAGTATTTCTTATTTCTTAATCTCTTGGAGAAGAACGTAGATTCTCGGGTATTGTTGTACCAGTCCCGGCAGTCAGGACTTTAGCTAAAATGGGAAAGGGTAGAGAAACTGTTTGTTTCCTGGAACACTAAATAACACTATGACAGTAATTGCACGAAACAGACGCAGGAAGTGTGGTAGGTCTTGATTACCCTCTTGAATCAAATAAATGACCCCCCCCCCCCTCTCTGAAACAAAAAAAGTGTAAGTATTAGCCCCCAAAAACTGTAAGACTGAGGACTATATTTAGATAGCAATATCACTATCTCATGACAAATACGACAAAATGTAAAATTTAAAAAGACGAACATATAGTTCATAACTTTCATAACTTTATAACCTTCTATGAATAATTAACTCGTGCGAAAATCCGATAAACTTGAATAAGTCACCCTTTCTCACAATTCCAGTCGACCCAGCTGTAAATGGGGACAGATAATTCAGGAAAGATCAATGTCAAGAGGCTAAACCAAGGACCAGCTGGTAGAAAGGATCCTCGTCAACTTAAGTTTATTGTCTATCTTTTTAACGAAATGGTGCTGTTTTCCATTTAACTCAGTAGGCTATAATATGTAAAACTTTCTTTTTAGGCCAAGCGACAAGCAGCGTCAGGGAACATAGACGGTGCTCGCGAGAAAGCTGCAGAATCGAAGAGAACCAGCCTCATCGGTATATTTGCAGGAATAGTATTTCTCGGTGCGGCTATTGGAATAGGGGTCTGGTATTACTTTAAAACTCTACAAGAAATAAACTCTCGTCGGTCTCACTATAGATATTAAAACGAGTTTTACCTTCTTACCTTCTTCTATTTCGACATGAAAACTTCTCGAAAAGTATTTGCTATCTCTCACTCATTGCACACAACCAGGCGTTATCCGTCCTCATCAGCTAAACAGGTACAGAAAAGATAGGGGTAATAATCCGTTTCCTGTTCAGTTCCATTCATCGAAACGGTTATACAATAACTGTTTCACTGTTACTATATTTACAGTTATTTATCTTTTAATCAAACATTAAAATAGTTTTAGTTTGTTACCATTTCTTCATGGCTGGAGATACTCCTGAATACAAAATGCAGCAACTCTGTGGTGGTGATATAGTCGCAAGCCTCTCATAGAGCGTCTGAGAGGGTTCTTGCTAGAAAATTTTCGAAAAATGGAATTGATTTGGTGCATTCCAACATATTTTGTGGCAAAAACGTTCAAAAATCGTGGCACCGTCACTGGCAGTAATAGCTTGTCATTGTAAAGATGATTCTATAGTTAAACGGTTTTGTAATTATTTAGTATGTGTAGGCAACTGCAAGGCATTTGCGTGAAAAGAGATAACAAACGGTCTGCCGTGAAAGTTCTGTAAGCGCCGTGCACCGTTAACATTTGCTTGTCTCCAAGGGCAAAGTCCATCCCACAAACCAATAATCTCAAAATTAGACCTACGGTATTTCTGACAAACCGAGCTTGAGATAAGAAAAAAAATGGCTGCTATCTACGCTCTTCTCCAATCCACGAGAAGAAAAATCTATGTTGAAATCATTACGAATTGATAAAAAACAAATAATTCACTACCTTATTGCGCAATAATATCTGACCAATCAGTAACAAGATATACAAATAATCAGGGCACAAATACATTACACTAAATAGACCTTTATTAGATTCAATTAGACATCAATTGAAGTTTGAATTTATGACATGATGGATGGAAAAAGAGGTATGTATAGGTTGAAATTTTGTTACTTCTAACCAAATAATATGAGACCAATCTAAGATTTGACTGAAGTTTTATCATAGGGCCTACTGAATGGCGAAAGAAATGTTACAGAGAGAGAGAGGTGTATCGTATTTATCCTTATTTTTAAATTCTTATATATTAGTAAGGACATGTTAGTTAATATTTTAAAGTAAGATAAAGAAGTAGTAGAATATTGTAAGGGTATTTGTGCCAGTGTTTTATAAAGTTTATAATTATTTTCAGGTTCATCGCTTCGACAATGTTGATGGATGTTTTCGTTTAGGTTGGGTGTAGACCACCATTTGCTAATTTGTGACTAATATTATTCCCGGAATATTCAATTTAGATCGGTCTCATTTCCTCTACTTTGAAATGAACACCTGATACTACCTCTCTCTCGACAAGTCCACTTTATTTAGTTTCATTTCCGGGATGTTGTTAACCGATGGTTTTTTTCACTCCTGTGTTTTTTGTCCTGTCCATGGATTTTCCGAATGGCTTTGAGGCTTTGGTATTCTTTCGTTCGGCTTTCAGAAGTGACGTTTCTTTTGCCTTTCAGTCTATCTAAAATCTACTTATCTTCGTCAAAGCATCCAAACACCGTCAAAAAACCCCCGTCCCTTGCTGGTAGTTATCTGGAAGACTATCCTTGTGAATTCTCGCGCATTAATAGGTTCCCTGGTGCCATTGTAAGGTTTTCTAGGTTACAGTTATATCATGTGAATAAACAGTTAATGATAGACCCAGATCGCTTTCGTATATCGACCCCAAATTTGCGAAAAATGACGGGTGGGGTATGTAACCAAAACATTTTGAATTTTTCCAGAGCCTGCTTCAAAATACCACCATGACAACCTGGCCTTCACCCAAGACTTCGATACCTCCAACTATAATTCAAGACCCAGCCAAAATAATCCAGGTAAATAATCAATAATCAGATATCTGTGGTTCCTGCAATTCCACTTAAACTAAGTGTTTGCTGACGTCACTTATCGGAAAATGTGTTTTATTATACAAGGCCCTCTCGATAAGTGACGTCATAAAACGCTTAATTCAAGTGAAATTGCAGGAACCACAGACATCTGATTGAAAATTATAATGGTGTAAATTGATCCTATCAGTGTCCCCGATACACATAGATTTTTGTAGAAAACCTCTTTACAATCGCTTTATATGTCAACGTTCATTTGATACAGATTACAGTGGAGGATTTACAAAGTTTGGTAATTCTGAACCACCACCGTATGATAGTTCATCTAACTTCGTAAATAATCAGCAACCCCAACCAATGACCACAGATCCTTATGCCAAAGATTTTGGACCTCGTTTACCACCCATTCTCAATCCTTATGGATATGAAGTGGGTCCGAGCAGCAGACACGCTGGATATGGCCAATATTCTAACGACCACACAATCATTACGGTAAGTTTAACATTAAAAAGGCCATTGGTCGCCATATCGGGGGTTAATTTGAGTCTTGAATAATATGTTGTCTTCAGAAATACTAGAATTGCACGAAATCTGTTTAATATGTGGTTGCAGTAATGGAATAGAACTATTTTAGGGGGCAGTACATTTCTTCCCAACCCCCACCACCACCCTTGCCCACTGTAGCTACACACTGTTTCCACAATGATTGCTTCTACGAGCAACGGGAGTGTTTTACAATCATCTCCTTTTTCAGTTAAACCAACCAGCCGTTGGAAGTGTACCAAATTATTTCGGACTGGCTTTATTTGTGACACTTTGTTGCTGCTGGCCGCTGGGTCTTAGTGCTATAAGTCAAAACAATGAGGTAAGAAAGCTATTTTTTAGATAACAACTCCGCAGCCTTGATAATTTTAGTATTCCAGTCATTTAATTGGTCAATCACTATAATTGATCTTAAATTGAGTTTTGTTATCCAATCAGATAACTGTATTTCTTGAAACCTTGATCCTGTCTACCAACTTGTCCTTGGGCTACTACTAGCCGACCTTTTGCCAAACTTCCGATTGTACAATAACTTAGGCTCTCGGGGATCCTTTCTACCAACAGTCAAGGTATGTGTCAGTTAAACAAGAAGATTTTCTTTTTAGGCCAAGCGACAAGCAGCGTCAGGGAACATAGAAGGTGCTCGCGAGAAAGCTGCAGAATCGAAGAGAACCAGCCTCATCGGTATATTTGCAGGAATAGTATTTCTCGGTGCGGCTATTGGAATAGGAGTCTGGTATTACTATAAAGTACGACAAGATATCGACTCAAAACACTCTCACTATAGATATTAAAAATAGTATAATTGTACCCAGGTTTGATTAAAGGTACAAACATGAGCAGTAAAAAACATATGGCCATCCCCACCTTACTCTTTCAAAGTCACTTAATATCATTCTTGATAATCAAAATGGCTTCATGCTTAAAACAAAACAAAACAAGAACGCCCATTGTGTGCTTTCTTACTCTAGTTGTTTATTAAAGTATTTGTATCTATATATTTGTGTCTAGTTAAATATTCTCCAATAACTGAATGTCGCTTAAGGTGATACGACGTCTTAGAATGAATATAAAATTTAATTCTCAAGAATGGTCAATATGAGTATATATTCATCAGTGAACTTACCTGGTGTCATAAAGTTTCAACAGAATCCCTGTAAAATGTAGAAAATTGGAAAATTGATAAAACTAAGTAATTATTGAAAAAGGCTTAATCTTGATATTAAGCGTTTTTCAACAGTTAATTGCATATTTATGGATAATTACTAAGTTTTTTTTGGAATTCTGTTATGTTATTTATTACACCAGGTATATCTACTGGCTCTTATTGGTCAAGTTTAAAATTCTTAAATTTTATGTTAATTCTAAGACGTAGTATCACTTTAAAGGTAAACTACCTCTTAGGATGAAGAAACAAAATGAATTTTTAAACTTGGCCAAAATGATTCTTTATTCATCAGTGGACTTACCTGGTGTTATAACTATACAACAGAATCACTCTTTAAGCTGAAAAATCTATAAAACTAAGAAATAAACGTTCAATCAAACTTGAATATTTTATTTCAATGGTATACAAGAATTATATAATAACATGATTTTTAACATAAATAAAATATATAGGTAAAGACTGAGACTTGTTACATGTTAATATCGTCATGGCGACATGAGAGTCTTGAAATAGAGAAATATTAAACAGAACCTCAATCATCATGTCGTTACTCAGAGTTTCAAACTATGCGAGCATCACGCAAACTCACATATTTCAACCTGTGTTTCAGTTTTAATCCAAAAATAGTTTGAAAACCTGGGTGACCATCAATCATGTTTTGAAATTAATTGACACTATTTATTGTATAAGACAATTAGAAGTATCACAGCACATTAAGAAATAACAGTTTTTATGGATATAGACTTCTATTTATTAAACAGTATGTAGGTGTTCAAATAATAACTAGAAGTTTATATCCATAAAACTGTTATTTCTTAATTCTACAGCTGGTATATATAATGTTCTGATCTGTATGGTTAATAATCACTTGATAACGTTACCTGTATGTGTAATGAAACGTTGTGTTTAATAATAAATAGAAGTCTATATCCATAAAAACTATTGTTTCTTAATGGCTTATTGTGGTTTGTATTAAATGTATAATGTATTATTAACTATTAAGAGATGTGTCAAAGTGACATGAGGAGGATACAGTAGTATAAGCAGTAGTTATATTATTGTACAGTTTTCTGTAGTCAGAATAATATATAGAGTAAAAGGGATTGTTAAAAGACTATTGTGTATTGGAGACAATGATAGCATCAATAAGCACCATTTAATTTTCAATCAAACGTCTGTTGTTCTTGCAATTCTGTTAAAACTAAGTGTTTGATGACGTCCCTGTCGCAAAAGCTGCTTATATTATCTAGAGACCTTTGTGATGGTGACGTCATTAATTAGTTTTAGTGGAATTACAGGAACCACACAGGGGAATTGGAATGGCATAAATTGATGCTATCAGTGTCCCCGATACACGCAAAAAAAATAGAAAACCTCTTTACAATCTCTTTAAAATAACATGAAGATATAGAAATGACAAGGATGTAGAAATGATGATAATATACAAAAGATAGGATGACCTAATTAAAATATATTTGATAAGATTAAAATTGTAAATAGAAGCACTTGATGAATTTAAAACTAGAAAATAAAGAATGGACTATGATACAAATGAATTGAGAGAGATATATTACAGTATATTAAGTTTAGATTGTCACAAATTTTCTTAACTTTAAATAGAGCCATCTAAATATTTACTTTACCAGCTGATAGATCTCAATTTCAGCTATCTGTATAGACATCTAAATATTTACTTTACCAGCTGATAGAGCTCAATTTCAGCTATCTGTATAGTCATCTAAATATTTACTTTACCAGCTGATAGATCTCAATTTCAGCTATCTGTATAGACATCTAAATATTTACTTTACCAGCTGATAGAGCTCAATTTCAGCTAACTGTATAGTCATCTAAATATTTACTTTACCAGCTGATAGAGCTCAATTTCAACTATCTGTATAGTCATCTAAATATTTACTTTACCAGCTGATAGAGCTCAATTTCAGCTATCTATATAGTCATCTAAATATTTACCAGCTGATAGAACCTTAGTTTCATTTGAAACATATTAACATATTAAATGTAAGTGGTATTGCAAATTGCAAGTCAAAATAACCCCAATATTTTCTATGCCTTGCCAAAATCCAAATTTATCAAATTGTATATTTTTTGGCTAGATTTATCTGAAGTCTACTACTGGAAAATTTTAAATTGCTACTGAATTTTTATGAAATGCTAATCAAAATTTAAAGGGACAGATATGCGCCATTTTTAGGGATTGATTGTAATCTTGAATATATCTATGTAGTCATCAGAAGAACTAGAAATGTACGAAAATCGCATTATTCCTTCAAAAATACTTCAGACTAGGAATTTTACTCACTATTTCTATAGATGTTAATTGAATATTTAGACAACTTTAGACAGTAGAAACAACTCAAGACGTCTTGAATTATTACAATCATTGAAAGCCTCAAGAGAGAGCACAATCATAGGAAACTACATATAGTACACGAACGTAGTTCACAGCCATTTTGAATATTTCCCTCAACTCAATAAGTCAAATTCTTAACAAGGCTATAATATTTCAACATAGAACAAATAACGCCAATTTCTAAAACTTTAAATATGATTCTAAGGCTTGGTTGTAATATTATAGCCTTGTTAAGAATTCAACTTAAGTTCGGGAAGAGATTCAAAATGGTTGAGAACTAGTTCCACTTAAGAACTTATCTCCACTTAAGAACTATGTTATCTCCGAGTAAGAACTATGTTATCTCCAAGTAAAAACTATGTTATCTCCAAGTAAGAACTATGTTATCTCCAAGTAAGAACTATGTGTAGTTTCCTATGATAGCTCAGTATGAATCTATAATTTGACTTTCTTCTGAGCCGTTCCAATGTTACACTGATTCACCTGAAAGAGAGAAGTTGACTATTACAGTATTATGTTTAAGAATGAGGCCCCAGGGCTATACAAACTGTACAGTATTATGTTTAAGAATGAGGCCCCAGGGCCCAGGGCTATACAAACTGTACAGTATTATGTTTAAGAATGAGGCCCCAGGGCCCAGGGCTATACAAACTGTACAGTATTATGTTTAAGAATGAGGCCCCAGGGCCCAGGGCTATACAAACTGTACAGTATTATGTTTAAGAATGAGGCCCCAGGGCCCAGGGCTATACAAACTGTACAGTATTATGTTTAAGAATGAGGCTATACAAACTGATATATTGAACACCGTATATACATTAATTGTAGGTTTAATGTCAATTTTTTTGCTCAGAAAGAAAGAAGCCTGACAAACGGGAGGATGAACCTGGCATTAGACTCTTTCTTATCTTTGTTAGGGTTATGTGACCATCTTTTTAAAACAATCACCTTTAATATACGATCAAAATAAAGTTCCCTCACCCCTCCCCTCCCTGGTAAACTACCTTTATTACCTGACCAGCGACCATGTATTTTCACTCCCATGACATCAAAATGAGTCTCCCTTGTATAACACATGAACTTACCTTGGTGGCAAAACGTAAGGAATTTAGAGATTCATTAAAGAATTCTTCCCGTGGGTTTATATTAACAAACATCAATGTTTTACTGTTTCCACACTAGTGAATTCTGTAGAAGATA